GTCGCCGCCGCTCGCCGCCGTCAGGAACGCCGGGCGAAAGTCGACCTCGACGCCGCGCTCGCGCCTCCGCGACAGCCGGCACGTCGTCAGCCGGCGCGGGCCGCCGCCGCCGCCGCCGCCGCCGCCGCCGCCATCGCCGCCATCAATCGGGAGCCACGCGTCGACGGACGCGTCGTCTTCTTCTTCGCCGAGGGCGCGCGACGACAGCAGCGCTTGCAACGCGACGCGGTCGCGCGTCGGCAGCGCGCGCCACGCGCGCGACGCGGCGACGACGGCGGCGACGGCCGCGCGCGTCCCGCCGCCGGTCGCGACGGCCACGATGGCCACGGCGTCCACCTCCGCGACGCGCGCGAGGTCGTGCGCGACGTCGAACGCGTCGCTCCACGCGCACCGCGGTGAGGGCCCGAGCTGGAGCTCCGCGCGATACGACGCGAAGACGGACGCCTCGGCCGCGATGGCGTCCACGCGCGGCGTCGCGCGTCGAAGCGCGATCTTCAATGATGCCGCGGCGTCGCGCGTCGCGTCCGGCCCGCGCGCGAGGACGACGGCGTCCTCGACGCGCCTCAGCACCCACCGCAGGTGCGCCTCGTCGTCGCCCGTCTCGCGCGACGCGACGACGACGAGCGAGCATCCGCCGAGGCGACGCGCGCGATGGAACACGACGCGGACGTCGCGCGTGCTCGCGCGGTCGAGCGATCCGCCCGCGTGCGCGGCGAACGCGGAGACCGCGGACAGCAGCGCGGCGGTCGGGCGTGACGGCGGGGACGCGTCGCCGTACGTCCGCGTCAGCAGCGCGACGCCGTCCGGATCGACGACGCACAGCGCCCGCGGCATGGCGACGCTCGCGGCGGGGGCGGAGCGCGCCGCGGAGTGACGACGACGCGAGATCCGTTTGACGAGTTTCTGTCGATGAGGTCGTTTTCTACTCGGATCCTTCGCTCGCGCCAGAGGCGAGGGCGCGGGGCTTCGCGCGATGGCGAGCGTGCCGTCGTCCTTCCGCGCGAGGTTGCGGCAGACGCAGCGCGCCGAGGGCGGGTCGTCGTCGTCGTCGTCGTCGTCCGACGACGACCGCGGCGACGACGGCGAGGCGACGGAGGAGGAAAACGTAGCATCAGATCCCTCGCGCGACGGCGACGACGCGCCGGGAACGGCGACGCCGGACGACGGCGGCGTCGCGGACATCATCGCCGCGATGATCGAAGCGACGACGGTGCCGCGCGGCGACGAGACGACGACCGCGGTCGAGATTCATCAGAGCGCGGTGGAGACGACGACGACGGCGCCCCGCGACGACGGCGACGCGACGAGCGAGGCGGACGACGACGCGACCGACGGAGGCGCGCGGCCGTCGGAGGCCGCGCGCGACGACGACGACGACGACGAGGAGGAGGAGGAAACGCCCGCGGAGGAGGATGCCGCGGCGCCGCGCGCGACGACGTCGGAAGCGGCCGACGACGCGTCGCGCGTCGCCCCCGGGGACGCGCGCGAGCCGTCGCCGTCGCCGTCGCCGTCGCCGTCGCGCTCGGAAGCCTCGCGATCGTCGTCGTCGTCGTCGTCGTCGACGCCGACGCCGACGCCGACGCCGACGCCGCCGCCGCCGCCCGCGCGCTCGTCCATCGACCACGCCGAGATCGCGACGATGACGAGAGACCTCGACGCGCTGGAGGCGATCCCGACGCTGTCGCTGGAGGACTTCCTCCGGCCGTCGTTCGCGGCGGCGGGGTCGTCGTCGCTGTCGTTGTGCGACTCCGAATCCGCCTCCGTCTCTGCGTCGGCGTCCGTCGCGGCGGCGCCGTACGACCAGGACACCGACCTCGACGCCCCGGAAGAGGTCGACCCGCGCGTCGCGGGCGCGCTCGACGAGCTCAACTCCGCGATGAGCGAGAACAACGAGCTCGAGGCGGAGCTCGCGGGCGCGCGGCGACGGCGGAAACACGCGCGATCCGCGTCGACGCGCGAAGTGGAGGCGACGCGAAAGAAACTCAGGTGCGTTCTATACAAAAGTTTTTCACCCATCGCCCGGTTTCAACGTTTGATCGCATCCCCTTTCAACTGACCGGTGAACCTTTTTTGTATGGAATGGCCCTCAGCTCGAGCGTCCGAGCGGCGGTGCCGTATTTCCACAAGCGAGCGCTCGCGAACATGTACCAGACGCGGAGTCTGGAGGCGCTGCGGATGTACGAGCGCGCGCACGACATGCATCTCAGCGCGAAGAAGACGTTTAAGGCGCTAGAGGAGCGGATGACGCCGACGCCGGAGAAGAGGGGCGGCGTCGGCGGCGGTACAGCTGGCGGCGGCGAGAGCCCGGGGAGCTCCGGTTCCGGCGCGAAGAAGTCCAACAAGTCCGTCAGGACGAAGTTGTTCGGGAGCGGGGGGAAGAAGAGCGCGAAGAGCGCGAAGAAGACCCCGAGCCCGCGAACGAGCGAGAGCGGCGGTGGCGGCGGCGGCGAGGACGATAGGAAACGCGAGGAGGTAGGGCGTGAAGACGCGAGAGGAGACGAAGGCGAAAACGCGACGGCGACGGCGCCGGCGGAGGACGAAACGCGAAGCGGCGGCATCTTCGACGCGGACCTGATGTTCGCCGCGTCCGACGCGATATCCGACGTCGTGGACACGGAGACGATGAAAAAACGCGCGGAGCTCGCGCACAAAGAGAACATTCGGATGGCGACGAAGACGATGCACGAGGCGCTCGTCATGCAGCGGAAATCGAAAAAGAGCGTCGAGAAGGCTCGGCCGTATTTCGAAGCCAAGGCGAGAGCGGAGGCGGACCTGGCGCGGCGAGACGAGGAAGTTCGCACGCTGGAAGCGAAAGTCAAGGAGGGGAAGGATCGGTACGCGAAAGCGTTGGAGAACCTGTCGCGGATATCAGAGGAGATACACGAGCGCCGGGAGCGGGAGAGAATAGAACGCGAAAACGCGGGCGGCGGCGGCGGCAGCGACGAGTAGTTGTAGGTTTCGATTCGATCAGATTCAATTCAATTCAATTCGTCGCACAAAACGGGTCTCCCGGTCCCTCCATCGTTCATTCCCCCCCCCACCTCAAACGCATACGTCGCGTCGCGTCACGTCAAGTCACGTCACCTTAAACGCCGCCTTCAGCGCGTTCCTCTGCGCCGGGGACACGCGATTCGGGAACTCGATCTTCGCGAATTCGACGACGACGTCGCCTCTCTCCCCCGGGCGCTTCCGGCTCGGCATCCCTCGGCCCTGAATTTTGACCGCGCTCCCCGGGGATATCACGCGGCCGTCGTCCACCTTCACGACGACCGGCGCGCCGTCGATCCCACCCAGCGTGAGCTTGAACCCGCACAGCGCCTGCTGAAGGGATATGGCGCACCGGTAGACGAGGTCGTCGCCCCGGCGCTCGAACGTCGAGTGCTTCTTCTCGTCGAGCTCGATGACGAGGTCGCTCGCGCGGCCGGGCCTGCCGGGATCTTCGCTTCCTTTCCCCGCGTACGTGAGCTTCGTCCCGGCTTTGTACCCGGGCTTCACGTCCACCGTCACGATCTCCGCGACCTCGCGCATCGCAGCCTGACCTTCGGGGACGTTCGTCGCCGTCGCGTCGTTCACGCGTCGGGTGATTTTCAACTTTTTTTTGCACCCAGAGTAGAGGTCTTCCAACGACAGCGGGAGGCGGCTGACCGTACACTGCGGTGGTCCCCGCGTGCTTCGAACCCCTCCACCGGGACCGCCGCCGCCCATCCCTCCGAACATGGACGCCATCCCCGGCATGCCGCCGCCCATGCCGCCCATGCCGCTCGCGGAGCCCGCGTCGTCGCCTCCCATGCCTCCCACGCCTCCCATGCCTCCCATGCCTCCGAAAAACTGCTCGAAGATGCGCGTCGCGTCGTCGTTCGAGAACGTGTACCGCGCACTTCCGCCCATCCCGGGCTGCGCGGCGCTGAATCCGCCTGGGCCGCCGAACCCGCCTCCGTCCGGGGCGCCCTCGGGCGTGCCGGGCTGGAACCCCGCCTTGAGGCCTTCCTCGCCGTACTTGTCGTAGACGGCGCGCTTGTTCGAATCCGACAGGACGTCGTACGCCTCGCTGATGTCTTTGAACTTCTTCTCCGCCTCCGCGGAGCCTTTGTTCTTATCCGGGTGCCATCGCATCGCCATCTTGCGGTACGCCTTCTTCAGCGCGGCGTCGTCCGCGTCTTTCGCGACGCCGAGGAGCGCGTAGTAGTCGCGCGCCATCGTGCGCGAGATTTATCTCTCGTAGAGTCCGATTAACGTTCTCTCGCTCGATCGACGCGCGGTCGAAGGAGCGACGCCGCGGAAGCGCCGCCGCCGCCGCCGACGACGCCTGCGCGCGAGTGTCTCTGGTGCGCGAGTGTGCCTCTGTCGCGAGCGATGCGTGTCGCGCGCGTGGTGCAGTGCCCGAGCGCGTCTCGGCCGCCGAGCGAACGCTCGCGAAACTTTCTTCTCGGACGTAACGCTCGCACACTGCAGCCACTTGGCAAATTTCGGGGTTTAGGCTAACCCTAATTTTAGGGTTTCTTGCCAGCTCGCGGGTCGAACAGGCCCGGTCGAACGCGCGCGGTTTAAAGATTCGCGTTCGACAACTCGATTCCAAATTCTCGACGCGGCCCGCGTGGTCGTCAGTCGCGCGCTGCGCGAGACACCTCGGGGTCGCGCGCGCGCGCGCGCTCGACGGCGTAGATGGCGAAACCGCACCCCAAGGCGCGCGCGGACCGCGATGGGACCGACCTCACCACCGCGCACGCCGCGATATCGACCGTGCGCGTGGCCCGCGGCGTCGACGAAAAGATGGAGAAGCGGGAGACCACCGCGGCGCTGTTGTACGACCTGACGATCTTCTCTAAAGTCGTCTTCATCATCACGCCGGTCATCGTCGTCGCGTTCGCTCTCCCCCTCGGCTTCCTCCTCGCCGAGCTCGAGGGCTGGGACGACATCGACGGGTTTTACTACCTCATGTCCGTCCTCTGCGGGCTACCGAACGGTCTCACGGACGAGTCGCCGACGTCGGACGAGGGCAAGGCGGTGGACATCATCATCGTGCTCTGGGCGTGGTGCTTAGTCGGGACGTTCATCGGCCTCGTCGCGAACCTCAGCGTCGTCGGGAGGATCATCCTCCGGTTCGAAGCGGTCGCGAGGAGGATCACGGACCGTCTCCTCGGAAAGATGCTCGAAGCGATTCGCTCGCGCTCGGACGAGGTCGAGACGTGCGAGGAGCTCGGCGTCCTCGCGAGCGAGAAGGACGCGCTCAACGTCGCGATCAACCAGCTCATGCTCCAGCGGGAGCAGATCAAAGACAGCAGCGAAGCGCACTGGGAAGAGAGAAAGGCGCACAGGAGGGCGCGGCGGTACGAGATCGCGTTGGACTTCGTCATGTATCTCGTGACCATCTTCTTCATCGTTCCCTGCCTCGTGATCGTGTTCTCGATTCTGCTCGGGTTCTTGTTAGCCGAGCTCGAGGGGTGGAGCGACAAGAACGGCTTCTACTACATCATATCCATGCTCTTGGGGGTCCCGAGTTCGCTCACGGAGCCGTCGACGCTGGCGCCGGATACGACGGAGGGGAAACTCGTGGACATCATCATCGCGCTCTGGGCGTGGGCGCTCATCGGCACGTTCATCGGCGTCATCGGCGGCCTCGCGACGATCGAAAGCTTCGTGACGTGGCTCGAGAGCGGCGGCGACTCGTTCAAGAAGTGTTTCGGCGTCGAGATGGACGAGCACGACGCGCACCTGATGGACGACATCGACGCGTTGGTCGCGATGCGCGAGACCGTCTCGAAGGAAGTCTTCAACGCGGAGAAGAAGCTCATCGAGAGCCTGAGGCGAGACTGACGAGCGCGAGACGCGAATCAGATCGATCGCGCGGCGTCCGTCGCGCGCGTTATGTTATTCGGGTTGTAAGCGTTGTCGTATTATGCATCGTCGTCGTCGTCGCGTCGCGTCGCTCGCTCGCTCGCTCGCCGAGGAGGTGGGTTGCCTCGGCCTCGGCGCTCGTCGCCGTCGCCGTCGTCGCCGCTTCGGAGTCTCTCGTCCACGGACGCGACGAGTCGGTCGAGCGCGTCGATCGTCGCGTTCACGCCAGTCTTCTCCACCGCGTCGTCGTCGTCGCCGTCGCCGTCGTCGAGGCTCTGGCTCTGGCTCCGCGGCTCTCGCTCCGCGGCGTCCTCCGCCGCCGTTTCCCTCGCCTCCGCCTCTTCTCGCTTCTTCTCCAGGGCGACCGCGTCCCGCAACGACGTCGGCGGCGGCGCCGCGGCGCCGAGCGACGCGACGTCCCCGAGCGCGACGCCGCTCGCTTCGCCGCCGCTCGCCGCCGCCGCCGCGCCCGCCGCCGCCGCGCGTTTCGCCGCCGCCGCCGCGTCCGCGTCCGCGAGCTTCGCCCTCGCCCATCTCAAGACGTCTTCGGCGTCGCCGCTCGCGCCGCCCTCCGTCGTCAACGTCTCGCGAAGCGTCGTCTTCATCGCGTCGACGGCGTCCTCCTCGCGCATCTCGACGAGCGCTCGCGGCGGGTGTTTCGCGTGGATGACGTCGAGCGTCAGCCCGTTCGCGGTCTGCACGAAGTCGCTCGCCGTGTTTCGTATCCCGTCGCGCTCCATGAGCGTCATCGTCGCCGCGCGGTACAGCGCGTCGAATTCGCCGCCCTCGCCGCCGCCGCCTTCATCGCTGCCCTCCGCCATCGCCGCCCTCATCAACGCGTTCATCTTCGTCGTCGTCTCCTCGTCCATGTCCCACACGAGCGCGTTCCGGATCCCCTGCAGCGTGACGTACATCTTCTGCACGGACTCGCGCTCGCTCATCTCGTTCAACGTCGACGGCGGGAATTTCTCGTGAATCGCGTCCAACACCAACGTCAACGCGTCCTCCGTCTTCTCCAGCCCCTTCGCAGCCTTCACCTCGTTCACCACCTGACGCATGTACGAGTTGAACTCCTTCGCGCCGTCCGCGACGGATGACGCGTCGATGCTGTCCATGACCTCCCCGGCGAGCGCGCGTCTTCGACGGTCGAGATCGCGCTTCAGGAGCGTCATCCGCGCCGCGCGGATGTCCTTCGCGGTGGGCGGCTTGGACGCGTCCGCCGGCGTCGTCCCGGCGGCGACAAACACATCGTTCAGACACTTCCGCTGGTAGACGACGTACAGGATGTCGCACGCGAGCCCGCCGACGATGGGCGCGAAGAGATTTCCCCCGGGCGCGGTGATGAAGCACGCGCACTGCGTCAGCAGCGTGAGCCTGGACCGAAACCCGTCGAAGAACTGCTTCACCGAGGCGTTGAACACGATGCTTCCGACGGCGCTCGCGCCGCCGTCGCCGTCGAGCCCGCCCCCGCTCGGGTCGAACCCCGGAGGCGGCGTCATCGCCGGCCCTGGCTTCGGCGTCGGCTTGAGGACGTCCGGTAAGGGCACCGGCGGCAGTCCGCGCGCCTTCGCGTCGTCCGCCGCGGCGTCGACGACGTCGATCGCCGCCGCCGCGTCCGCGGAAGCGGCGTCGTTTTCGTTTTTCTTCGCGCCGCTTTTTCCGCCGGTGGCCATCTTCTTCTTGAGCTTCTCGACCAAGCCCCCGACGTCTTCGCTCGTCTTGAGGACGTCCCCAACCTCGACTTCATCGTCCATCGGAACCATCTTCTGCTTCCCCGTGATCGGATCCTTCATCACTCGAAACGCCCGCAGCGTCTTCCGGTTCCGCCGCGACGCGCGTCGAAGCTTGACCTCGAGGTAGAGATACGCCGCGGCGACGGCGGCCACCTTCGCTGGGAACTCCGCGTCGTACGGCTCCGCGCCCGCCTCCACGGCTCGATCGCACATCCACGCGCTCAGAAACCCCAACACGACCGCGCGCTCGAACATCTCGTCCGTGAGCCTCGCGACGGACGCCACGAGCGCGTCTTGCCACGCCGGCATCGATCGGCACGGATTCCCGAGCGCTTCCTCGCGCTGGTACCGCGACAGCGCGCGGCGGATCTTCTCCGGCTTCCCCAGGGCTTTCTCCTTCATGTCGATCGCGTCCTCCTCCGCCTCGCTCAGGTCGTACCGCGGGAGCATCACGAGCGCGTCCACGAGCGCGACGGGCAGCGCCCACTCGAGGCCGTGGAGCGACGACGCGAGGTCGGGGCGTATCATCGAGATCGCGTTGACGCCGACGAGGTATCCGACGCCGACCGCGAGCGAGCCCTTGACGCCGCCGGTGACGACGAGGAGAGACAGGAGCTCGAGCGCGTTCGACGGCGGCGGCGGGGGCGGCGGGGCGCCGTCGCCGTCGGGAGGAGCGCCGTCGGGAGCGCCGCCGTCGTCGCTCGACGCCGCGACGACGACGACGCGGCGGGATCGGGTCGCGATCGATGCGAAGACGCGTCGATGTGCTCGCGCGTCGCGATGAGCCGCCGCCGCCGCCGACGACGACGACGTGGAGCAGACGCCGCCGGTTCGTCGTCGCGCGACGACGGAGCGCGCGGTCGCGGCCGCGGCGACGCCGGCGCCCGCGCGCGCGAGGCTCGCCATGACGTGGGGACGGGCGCGCGCGGACGAGTGATGGAGGCGGAGACGAGAGCGAGATGAGAAACTGAATGAACCTAAAATAATAACCTCGAAAACCTCAACGACGCGGCAGCCCCAACGCGCGCGCCACCGCCGCCGCGGTCGCCTCGCCGACGTCGCTCGGCACCATCCCTCGAACAGTTTCCCTCTCCTCCTCGCGCAGCTGCTTCTCGAGACCGAGCGCGACGAGGTCCAGGTACTCCCCCTCCGTCGCGTCGAACGTCGCGAGCGTCCGCGTCAGCTGCGCCAGTTCTCGCTCGCACTCGAGCGCGTCCCCCGCGCGCGTCGCCGCGCCCGCGCGAAGCAGCCTGTCCGCGCACTTCCTCGCGAGCGCGGTCTCGACGACCGACCCCGCGCGCATTGGCGCGATCCCGAGGTCTCGCGCGAGGTCGGACAGAAACGCGCCGGGCTCGCACCCGCCGATGGACGCCCAGCGCCCGCCGCATTCCGCGTCGGCTTCGCCGTCGTCAATCGCCGCCAACGCGCCGACGACGCCCGCGCGAAACGCCGTCTCCTTCTTCCCTCCCGCGAGCCTGTCGCTGCCGCGGATCGCGTCCGCGCCGTGCGTCGCGCACGAGCGGCGAAGCGCGACGACGTGCCGCGTCTGCACGCCCTGGGAGGACACGCGCGCGCGATCGACGTCCAGGAGCGCCTCAGGGTCGTTCCATACGAGCGAACGTCGGGGTGGAGTTCAAAGGCGTCAGATGGAGTTCAAAGGCGTCGAGGGCGGGGATTGAAAGCGAGGGGTGGGCGGAGAGATGCGCCGGGCAAAGTCCTTAAGGAACGGCGTTCACCACGCGAACGCCGTCGTATGGGGACCAGTGTATAGAACGCGCCTCCGCGGGGACGGGAACGGAGGACGCGTCGGCGGCGGCGCGCGGCGTCGGCGTCTCCGCCGCCGGCCGCCACCACGCCGGGCAGGGTGCCGACTCGGGTGCCGAGTCCTCCCGCGCCGCCGCCGTCGCCGTCGCCGCCTTCGCCGCCTTCGCCTGTGTGTCGTCCTCCTCCTCTCCCCGCGGCGTCATCGACAGCATCCGCTCCAGGCGCGAGATCTCCAGGCTCGCGAACTCGCGCTCCAGCTCAGCCTCGGATCTGACCGTCGCGCGCGCCTCCTCCGGCAGCGGCGCCGCCGCGAGCGCGTCCGCGGCGTCCACGCGCGCGTCCTCGGGCGCGCTCTCCAGGACGATGATCGCGGTCTCGAGCCTGGACGCGAGCGCCGCGAGCGCCTCGCATCGCGCGGTGGTCAGATCGATCGAATCTCGCGTCCTCTTCCGCTCCGCGAGCGCGCGCCGCGCCTGATCCTCTCTGTCGACGTCGCGCCCGAGCATCGCGCGCTCGGCTTCGGCGCCGAGCTCCTTCGCGCGCTCGACGAGGCGCTCGCCGCGCGCGAGCGCGCGACGCGCGCGCGCGCGCACGCCGTCGAGCTCGTCCCTGAGCGCGAGCGCCGTCTCGCGTCGGACGAGGCGCGCGCGCTCGGCGTCGTCGGATCTGTCGGATCTGTCGGACGCGGCGGCGGCGCGGACGGACGCGGCGCGGGAGGGGCGATGACGACGCGCGGGCGCGTCGGCGCGGGGCGCGACGCGCGGCGGCGGCGGCGCGAGCGGACGGACGACCGCCGCGAGGAGCGACGTCATGGCTGGGCGCGCGCGAGAGAGTGATGATGGATGACGCGTCGTTTCGAGACGGTGAGACTGCTTCCCATACGACCCCGTTCGCGTGGTGCACGCCGTTCCTTTGAGGACTTTCCCCGTTTCGACGAGCGATCGTAAAAGAATGAATCATTTCGATACTGTGAGCTTCGTCGCTCGTCACCCTCCTGTCCCTGCGCGTACCTCCCTCGCCTCCCCGCTGCGTACGACGCGCCTTCTCCGTCATCGCATCTGGTCGTCGCGCGCCCCGCCGCCGCCTCCTCCGCGCCTCGCGCGTTCGCTCTCCTCCCTCGCGCGTCTCTCCACGTCCTCCTGAAACCGTCGCACTTCCTCCTGAATCTCCGCGTCGAGCTTCGCGACGCTCCCGAGCGCGTCCTTGCGAGGAGGCGGGGGTGGTCATCAGGTCCGTGTTAGTCATCGTCGGAAGGCGTTATAACACGTGTAGAAAGCGGAGGGAGCGCGCGCGGAGGGCGTTGGAGCGGGATCGGAGTGGAAAAAAAACACAGATCTCACCGCGAGCGCGCCGCCCGCGCGCTCCAGGAGCGTCTCCGCGAGCGCCTTCCCGACGAAGAACGCGTCGAGGATGTCTTCCGCGGCCTCCGCGTCCGCGTCGGTCGTCGTCGTCGTCCGCGCGGGCGGCGCGGCGCGCGTCGTCGCGGTCGTCGTCGTCGTCGTCGTCGTCGTCGTCGCCGTCGCGGTCGTCGCGGCGTTCGATGACGTGTCGTCCGAAGCGGCGCGCGCGCGGACGGCGACGCGCGCGCGCGCGACGCCGCGGGAACCGCGGCGAGGCGCCGCGGTCGTCGCGCGAGCGGCGACGGTCGTCGAAGAGGAAGCGAGCGCGGCGGTCGCGAGCGTCATGACGGTCGTCGTTCGCGCGCCGCGCGGGGCGAAGTGCGCGTCGCGCGACCGCGCATCATCAACGAGAGGCGCGCGCGCGACCGGACGCGCGCGTGCGGCCCGCGAGTGCCGACTCTTCATCAGAGTGTCTCGAGTTGTTCATCGCCCCCGCCGCCGCGCGCACTCCCGCGCGCGCGTCCACGCTCGTCCCCGAGAAGACGACGCGCGCGACGCTCGAGACGACGCCATGGGCAAGGTCACGCAGCGACGCAACCGCCAGGTCGCGAAGGCGGCGAGGCAGGACGGCGCGGACGACCGCGATCCGTCGGCGGCGGGCGGGGACGACCGCGATCCGTCGGCGAAGCGCGACAAGGGGCGGAAGCGCGTCGGCAAAACCCAACAGGACGAGCTCGACGACGACGACGCGGCGGAGAAGCAGTGCGCGGACTGGATCGGTCGGATCGTCCGCTTCGGCTTCATGGCGTACTCTCTGCTCGGCGTCTTTCGCGGCGCGCACGAGTGGGCGACGCGACCGACGACGCTGCCGCCGTCGATCCAAGTCGACGCGATCGACCTCCGCGGCGTGAACGCGATCGTGACCGGCGGCTGCGGCGGGCTCGGCCGCGAGACCGCGGCGATGCTCGCGTCGCGAGGCGCGCGCGTCGTCGTCGGGTGCCGACGAAGCGACCGCGGCGTGATCGACCTCGGCGCGGGAGGAGGGTTTAGCGCGGTCGCGCTCCCGCTCGACCTCGGCTCGTTCGCGTCGACGCGCGCGTTCGCGTCCGCCGTCGTCCGCGAGGAATTCTTCGATGGTGACGGGTCGTCGATCGACGTGCTCGTGCACAACGCGGCGACGTCCACCGCGTGCGCGAACACGACGGACGCGTTCGAGTCGTCGCTGCAGATCAACTACCTCGCGCCGGTGCTTCTGAACCGGCTGCTGCTGCCCGCGATGAAGAGCTCGGCGCGCGGCGCGAGGGTGACGCACGTGTCGTGCGTCGCGGCGAGCGCGAGTCGCGTCGGCGCGGAGGCGATTCGGAAAGCCGCGAGAGGCGGCGGCGCGCACCCCAAGCGGTGCGCGCCCGCTGGGTCGTACGCCGCGTCGAAGCGGTTACTCGAGCGTCACGCGGTCGTGATGTCGTCCAAGTTTCACGCCAAACACGGGATTCAGTCGTTCGTGGTCGACCCCGGCGCGACGCTCACGAACTTCAACGTCAAGGGCAACGTCCTCGCGAGCGCGACGCGGATACATCCCGCCGCGGTCGTGTCCTGGATGCTCGGAAAGGTCAGCGTCGCCGTCTTCGGCCCGCACGGCTTCACGAAGTTCTTCACTCGAAGCGTCGAGCACTCCGCCGCCGCGGTCGCGCACGTCGCCGCGCACGACGCGCTGCGAGGCGTCAGCGGGCGGACGTACTCGGACGTCCGCGGCGCGTTCACCGCGGCGACGGGATGCGCGAAGGCGGACGCCGCGGACTGCGGGTGGGCTAGGCCGCGCGAGCCGAGACCGAGGAAGCTCGACGCGGCCGCGGAGGAGAGGCAGAGAGAGCGCGATCGCGTCGACGCGGAGATTTGGAAGGAGACGAGCCGGTTGTTGGCGCCGTGGAGCGAGCCGCTGTTCGAGGAGGCGGAGGGGGGGGCGTCGTAGACGACTCTGCTAGTATTCTCTCTCACGGCGCGTTACACGATACAGACGACGACGCCGACGACGCCGCCGCCGACGCCGTCATATTCTGCGGGCGGCGTCGCGTCGTCACGACGCTCCCTCGCCGCTCCTCGGCGATCTGAACGCGTTCGTCCCTGCCGCCCCCCCCGCGGCGTTTCCGTTTCGATCCCCCCCGCCCGCGCCCCCCGAAAACGCCCCCGCCAACCAGTCCGCGGCGGCGGTCGCCGCGCTGCCGATCTCCCCGCCTATCAAGCTAATCTGCTCGCGCGCGTAGTTCACCGTCTTCACCGTCGCCTCCGCCTGCGTCGCGAACCGGTTCACCCACGCCGGAGGCCCCGGGACGCCGAGCATCGCGCCGAACGCCTCGCAGAAGTGGTTGCAATTCTTCCCCAACAGGTCGTACTCGCATCCCGGCCACTGCGCTTGCAGCACCGCGATGACGCTCCGGACGCGCGCGGGCGACAACGACGTCACCCCGAGCGGGACGCTCTCTCGGTACGTGTACCCGGTGTTCCCCCGCGGGTGGCAGCAGTACACCCCGCTGCCGCGCTCGCAGAAGCCGTACGACCACTCGTCTCCGTTCACCTCCACCGCGCCGTGAAAGATCCCCCCCGCCCCGAGCGCGTCCTTGGTGAAGCGGTTCAGCCCTTGGATGACGTTGTTCGCGGTCTCGTACGTCGTGTTCGTGATGTCGTACACGTGCAGCGTGACGAGCGACATCGATACCGAGAGGTCGACACTTCGACGTCGGTACCGCGCGCGACGCCCCGCGCGCTCCGCTCTGATCCGCCTCCCGAGGGTTTCTGTTTTTGTTGCGCGTCGAAGCGAGCTTCGAAACCGACCTCGTGAGCACGCGACGAGCGAATCTGCGCTGCGGGGCACCGCCACAACGCGCGCGCCGCCTCCGCGTTCGCGGCGCGCGCGCGGGTTCCGAGAGGCGACGCGACGCCGCGGCGACGATGTGGATCGGCCGCGTCGCGGAAGTCGCCGGCGCGCCCGCGGGCGCGGACGCGGGCGCGCGGTCGTCGCGGTCGTCGCGGTCGTCGTCGTTGGTCGTCTTCGCGATGGCGCAGGCGATCGCGGTCTACGTCGCGTTCGTCGTCGCGTGGCGGTGGGCCGCGGCGAGGCGCGCGCGGGGGAGGCGAGGGATAGAGGCGCGCGGCACCGCGCGCAGCGCGTACTGCGTCCCGTCGGACGACGAGGAGGAGGAGGAGGAGGAGGAGGAGGAGGACGGCGACGACGACGACGACGACGACGACGACGGCGGAGTGAGGAGGAGGAGGAGGACGCGAGGCGCGGCGAGGTCGAGGTCGAGGACGCGGAGGAGCGCCGCGCCGCCGCCGCCGCCGCCGCCGGTCGCGATCGTCCTCCCCGTGAAGGGCGTCAAGCCCGACAGCGAGGACAACTGGCGCGCGCAGCTGTCGTCGTCGTACGCGGGAGATCGCGAGTACGTCTTCGTGGTGGAGTCGGCGGACGACCCGGCGGCGGCGGCGGCGACGCGGCTGGCGAAAGAATTCGGACGCGACCGCGCCGGCCGCGCGGGCCGCGTCCGCGTGCGCGTCCTGGAGGCTGGCTCGTCGACGCGCTCGTCGCAGAAGATTCACAGCATGCTGAAGGGCGCGCGCGCGGTGTGCGGCGGCGGCGGCGACGACGACGACGACGACGCCGGGGCCAAGTACGTGTTGTTTCTGGACGACGACATTCGCACGCACGCGAACACGATCGGGTCTCTCGTGTCTTCCATGGAAACGCTCGGCGAGGATGCGTTTCTCGTGAATGGCTACCCGTTCGACATACCCGAAGAGAGCGCCGCGAGCTCCGCGGCGTTCGTGGACTACCTCACGATGGTGTATCACCTGGTGTTGATCGTCGCGTTTTCGCAAGGCGCCGTCGCGAAAAATGTGTGGGGCGGGTGCATGCTTCTGAGAGCGTCGGACGTACGACAGAACACGCACGGGTGGGTCACGCGATACGAGGACGGCGGGTACAGCGACGACCTGATACTCGCGTCGCTGTGCGACGAGCACGCGCGCGTCATCGGATGCCCGTTCGACGCGCTGTTTCCTCAGCGCATGGGCGGCGGCGGCGGCGGGAGAAAATCCAAAAAAACCTTCGCGAGGTGGTGGAACTACCTGAGACGCCAGCTGTTCGTCATGGACACGTACTCGAACGCGCACAACAGACGCGTGAACCACGCGATGCTGCTCGTGCTGTCGTACTTATCCCTCGCCGTCACGACGGGGATGGCGTGCGCGCTGACCGAACTCGCGTCGTGGGGAAGCGCGCGGTCGGAGGTGGACGTTCGCTTTCCTTCGCTCGCCGCCGCCGTCGTCGTCGCGTTCGCGTGCGCGGTGCGATCCGCGCGCGCGATGTACGCCGCGATGGGCGATCTCGCGGAGGCGCTCGGCGACGCGGACGCGAACGCGCTCGTGAAGAAGATCAACTGGGCCAAGGTGGCGGCGGCGTTCGCGTGCGCCTACGCGCTCGTTCCCATCGCCGCGGCCATCACGGCGACGCGCGCGACGGTGGTGTGGGAGGGTGTCGCGTACGAGAAGCGACGCGGGAAGGTGACGCGTCGGGGGTAGGCGCGGAAGCAGTAGTTTTAGCGTAGTTTGGACGACGGGACAGTCGTTTAGATAGATGATTCGTATACTGATTTACGTAGACCCGACTAAACCTTATTTTCACTCGCCGTAATGCTCTAGCGCGCGGGCGGTCCATCCGCTCGCCCGCCCCTCCCCCTCCGCCAGCGCGTCCCTGACCATGTCGTACAGCCCCACGACTTCCGGGTCCTCCGAGCCGACGCCGCCGCCGCGCGTCAAATCTACGCCAATCTCCCTCTCGGTGTCGGCGTCTCTCTCGTCTCTCTCCCTCGCGTGCGTCGTCTCCGTCCCGAGCGCCGCCTCGACGGACTGGTCCACGGCGCCCCTCACGACAGCCTGCAGCACCTCCTGCGGGAAGAGCCGGCCGCCGTCGCCGTCCGCGCCGCCGCTGGCGCCGTCCGCGCCGCCGCCGTAATCCAGCCCGACTTTCACGCGCGTCGTGACCTCGCGTCGCAGCGCCTTTCGGTGCGCGTCCCACGCGAGTTCCAGCTCGTCCAGCTGCTCCCTCGCCTGGTCGCGTTCCCACTCCGCGACGGCGCTTCGCAGCCGCAGCCCTTGGACTTTCGACTCGAGCTCGACGCGCTCCTCGCGGAGGTTGCGAATCTCGTCTTCGTACGCAATGCGCGCGCGTCGCTCGCGGTCGCGGTCGCGGTCGCGCGCGAGCTTCTCGCTGCCTCCGCCGAACGCGTCGTACGCGTACTCGTGTTCGCCCTCGACGCCGCCGCCTCTCGTCGTCCCGACTCGGTTCCAGAGGCGCGACGCGCTCGCGCTCGAGCTCGCGCCGCCCGCTCCCGTCGTCGTCGCGCGCCCGCATCGCGCGGCGGCGCGCGTCGTCGACGGCCGCGACGACGACGCGAGGAGGCTCAGCGAGGCGTACGACGCGGTCGGGGACGCGCTCGCGCTCGTCGTCGTCGTCGAACAGCTCGTCGTCGCCGCCGCGCGCCGCGTCGTCGCCTTCGCGGACCGACGCGCGAGCGCGGAGACGGCGCCGGCGGAGACGCTCGACGCCTCCGCGGCGACCGCGGCGAGACCGTCGTCGTCGTCGTCGTCGTCGAAAAGCTCGTCGTCGTCGTCGTCTTTGTCAGGCGGCGGGTCGTCTTCTCTCGCCGCCGCCGCCGCCGCCGCGTCGACTTCGGCGACGTCCCGCGGCCTTCGACGCCGCGACCGCCGCGACGCCGCCGCGTCCGCGTCGTCGTCGTCGTCGTCGTCGTCGTCGTCGCCCTCTGCGCCGTCCTTTCCCAAACCGCCTGAATACTCGGGGAAATCGCGGTCGCCCCCCTCGAACGCGCTGTCGTTGCTCGCGCGCGCGTCGCCGCCGCGCCGAAACAGCGCCTCCGCGGCGTCCGCCGCCTCCTCCATCGCCGCCGCCGCCTCCTCCGCGTTCCGCACTAACGCCTCGATATCGTCGGTTAAATCTTCGTCACCGTATAACGCGTCCTCGTCGTCGCCCTCGGGCTCTTCGTCGTCGTCCAGCGTCCACATCGACGGCAAGAGCTGCGGCGAATCGTTCTCTCCGTCTCCCGGAAACTCCACGCCGCGCATCGGATGCAACGGGTGACGCTCCGTCGTGCTGTACGTCCTCGCTCGCGGCGCCGTCGCCTCTCTGTGCGCCCTCCACGGGTCTTGCCACCGTCGCACCGCGGCCACGATCGCCTCCGCGTCCTCGTCCGAGTCTCCGCCGCCGAACCTGCCGCGGTCGCCGCCGCGGTCGTCGATCTCCATGTTCGCGACCTCGACGTGGACCTGCAAACCGGCGAGCGTCTCGGAGGTGAAGTACCGCGTCGGCGTCGGCGGCGTCGGCGGGGCGTCGATCTCGCGCGCGGCGGCGTAGTAGTCGTCGTCGTCGTCGTCGTCGTCGTAATCGTAATCGCGATTCGAGGCGGCGGCGAGTTCCTCCGCGAGGACGTCGGACGCGCGGCGGAACCGCGCGGGCGGGACGCGGCGGCGGCGCGCGTTCGCGCTCTCTCCCGTCGCCGCGGGACATGCTCCTCCTCCACTCGGGAGGAAGCGCGACGATTCGCGGCGCTCCGGGCGCGCGTCGTCGTCGTCGCCGTCGTCGTCGCGCATCTCCGCGAGGACCTCCTCCGCGTCGCTCAGGAGCTCGTCGTCGATGAGCGTGCCGCCTTCGTCGTCCGCGGCGGCGGCTTCGGCGCGACGACGACGAAATAAACTCGGGGCTGGCGGCGAGCGGAGAAATAGAAACGCCGTCGCTGCCTCGTCATTGTCTCCCGCTGTGCCGTCGACGCGCGCGTCGCGCCGGCGGTCGCGCGCCTCGTCGCCGTCGTCTCCCTCCTCCTCGTCGTCGTCTCCTCGGCGCGCGGCGGACGCGGTGTCTTCCGCGCGGCGACGATACGTCGGGTTGCGCGTCGACGTCGGCGTCGTCGGCGACGTCGCCGCGTCCGCGCGCGCGCGTCGGGGCTCGTCCGCCGCTCCGAAACGCCCGCGGCGCGAAGACGCGGGGGCGGCGGGCGCCGCGCCGGGCGGGGTCGCGGGCGGCGCGGGCGCGCGCGGCGCGGGCGGCGCGGGCGGCGCCGGCGATTCGACGCGCAAGCCGGGGATCGGCGGCAGGCGCTCGCCCGGCGCGCCCCGCGCGTCGCGCGTCGTCGTCATGTCTTGTCAAATCTCGTTAACCCAGCCGCGGAAAGCGTAAAATCGTTTTATCCGAGGGATTCGTTCACGGGACCGACGGCAACGCGCGCGCGCAGTCTCGACGGAGCGAGGTATCCCGCGCGCGAGAGAGCTCGATAAACGCTCCGCGCGCGCGTCTCGTCGCGCGTCGTCTCCGCGGCGGTCGCAGTGAGGGGCTCGGCTGCAAGGGGCTTCGTTGACAACCATCTTTTTTCTCTACGCGCGCATAAAATTTTGCTTGTCTCGAGCCGACCGCCCCCGCCCCTTCCGCGTGCATTTATTACGGCATCGCGCCGGGCGGACGACGATGCTCCTCGCGCGTCACGCGACCTGGCTCCGCGCGACCGCGCGACCGTGCTGGTCCGCGTCGACGACGTCTTCTTCGCGATGCGTCGGCGCGTGCGTGAGACCGCGGTCGCACGCGTCGTCCATCGCGCGCTTCGCGACGACGCCGCGGCATCATCGCGCGTCCCCGAGCAGGCGGCGGACCGTAGTCGGCGACGCCGCCGCCGTCGGCGCGAGGACCGCGGGGTTCCATCACTCGCGCTTGGCGCCGCGCGCGGCCGCGGCCGGGTGCGCGCCGCCGCCTCGCCCCCTCGGCGTCTCGCGCCGCGCGCTCGCGCGTCCGTCGTCGCGTCGACGCGTCGGCGCGGACGTCGCCGCCTCAACCCTAGAACCTGTGCCGACGAACGAACGCATTTCTCACGCCCCCTCCTCCTCCTCCTCCTCCTCTCCGCAGGAGCTCCGCCCCGACCGCGGACGAGATCGCCGCCGCGACCGCGGCGGTCGCGGACGCGGGCGAGAAGGTGCGAGCGCTCAAAGCCGCGGGCGCGACCAACGCCGACGACGCCGTGCAAGCTGGCGTCGCCGCGCTGAAAGACGCCAAGGCGACGCTCGCGGCGTTGGAAGCCGCGGCGAACCCACAGGCGGAGAAACAGACGCCGCCAGCGCCGAAGAAGAAGCCGCAGCAGCAGCAAAAGAAGGGCGGCGGAGGAGGACAGAAGAGCGGGGGGGGAAAGAACGCGAAAGCCGCGGAGAGCACGTCGAGCGCGGAGGAGGTGCGCGCGATTCGCATCGAAAAGATCGACGCGTTGACCGCGGCGGACATGACGCCGTTCGCGTACCGTTTCGACCGCACGCACACCGCGACGCAGCTCCAGGCGATGCACGCGTCCGTGGAAAACGGCGTCGAGGTCGAGGGCGTCACGGATGCGGTGTGCGGGAGGGTCAAGGCGCGCAGGGTGTTCGGCAAACTCGCGTTTTTGTCGATAGAGGACGACGGCGGCGCGATACAGGTGCGTTCTATACACTGGTCCCCATACGACCGCGTTCGCGTGGTGAACGCCGATCCTTAAGGACTTTTGCCGTCGTCTCTCTCCGCCCACCCCTCGCTTTCAATCTCCGCCCGCGGTGCCTTTCAACTCCACCTGACGCCTTTGAACTCCACCCCGACAATCGCTTGTATGGAATGGCCCTACAGCTGTACCTGGACGTCAAGCGCGTGGACGCGAAGAACCCGGGGACGTTCAAGCGCATCGTGGACCTGTGCGACATGGGCGATATCGTCGGCGCGCGCGGGACGGTCAAGCGGACGGAGAAGGGCGAGCTGTCCATCGTCGTGGACGAGTTCGAGATGCTCACCAAGTCGCTGCTGCCGCTGCCGGATAAGTTTAAGGGCCTCACCGACGTCGAGACGCGATATAGGCAACGCTATCTGGACCTCATCGCGTCCCCGGAAGTGCGCGACGTGTTCAGAACGCGCGCGGGGATTGTGAGCGGGATACGGCGGTTTCTGGACGACCGCGCGTTCATGGAGATGGAGACGCCGGTGTTGGAGTCGAGGGCGGGGGGCGCGGATGCCAAGCCGTTTTCGACGTTTCACAACGCGCTCGGGATGGACCTGACGCTGCGCATCGCGACGGAGTTGCACCTGAAACGGCTCGTCGTCGGCGGTTTCGAGCGCGTGTACGAGATGGGTCGCATCTTCCGAAACGAAGGCATAAGCACGCGGCACAACCCGGAGTTCACGTCCGTGGAGGTGTACCAAGCCTACGCCGACGTGAGCGACATGTTGGAGCTCACCGAGGATATGATCTGCGCCGCCGCGGAGAGGGCGTGCCCGGGTAACGAAAACCTATCCATCCCGTACGGCGACGAGATCATCCACCTCGGGAAGCGCCCGTGGCGCAGGGAGAGCATGAACGACCTCGTGAAGGAATACACGGGGGAATGCGCGTTGGACATCATGGGGACGTTCGGCGAGACGAAGGACGTGGACGGCGCCAAGGCGGCGGCGGAGGCGGCGCTTCGAGCGCTCGGCGACAAAGGCGCGTTCTATCTCACACTGGTCCCCATACGACCCCGTCGGCGTGGTGAACGCCGATCCTTAAGGCCGTTGCCCGGCGTGTCTCTCCGCCCACCCCACGGTTTCAATCCCCGCCCTCGACGCCGTTCAACTCCAACTGACGCCTTTGAACTCCACCCCGACGTTCGCTCGTATGGAACGACCCAAAGAATCGCTCGCGGGGATACCCAACGTGCAAAAGTCCCCCACTGTCGGGCACGTCCTGAACGAGATGTTCGAGGCGTGCGTGGAGACGAAGCTCCGACAGCCGACGTTCGTGCTCGACCACCCGGTGGAGATCTCCCCGCTCGCGAAGCCGCATCGCTCCAAGCCGGGGGTCACCGAACGCTTCGAGCTGTTCATCGTCGGCCGCGAGCTCGCCAACTCGTTCAGCGAGCTGACGGACCCGGTGGATCAGCGGAAGCGGCTGGAAGGGCAGATCGCGACGCACGCCAAGGCGCGTTCCGAGGCGCGAGCGGCCGCGGAGGCGCAGGGGAAGGAGGCGCTGCGCGCGTTCGAGGACGACGACTACCCGATCGAGCTCGACGAAGATTTCGTCACCGCGTTGGAATACGGCATGCCTCCGACGGGGGGGATGGGGCTGGGCGTGGACCGGCTCGTGATGCTGCTGACGAACAGCGCGAGCATCCGAGACGTGATCGCGTTCCCGTTGTTGAAGAAGCAGGAGTAGAGAGAGAGAGAGAGGGAGAGATGGACGTGTTATGACTACGGAGCTACGGCGCGTCGATCGATCACCCTCAAGCATCACGGAACGTCGTCGCGCTTCGCGTCTCTCGTCGTCACGCCGCGTCCGCGAGCGCGCGGACGCGTCGCGCGAACGCCTCGCTCGCGATCTTCCCGCCCGGCGCGTGAAACGGGTCGGAGACCGCGTCCGCGTACGCCTCGGACAGCGCCCTGAACATCCCCCGGAGCGTCTCCTCGCGCGTCCCTCCCGCCGCCCCCGACGCGTCGTCGTCGTCCTCCTCCTCCTCCGTCGCCATCACGAGCACGAACCGCGCGGCGGTGGCGCCGACGTGCGCGTACACGACGTGCCCTTCGTCGCGGTGCACCTCGCCGAGGTACGGGTCCTTCGGCCCGCCGCCGCTCGCGGCGGCGCCCGCGGCGGACGCCGTCGCGGGCGGCGCGCGCAGCCGCGCCTCGATCTCGTCCAACGCCGCGTGCGCGAGGCGCAGGTGCGCGTCGTCGACGGCGCGATGATGAAGTAGCCTCGCGTCGTCCGTGCCGGTGGCGGCGACGGAAGACGACGACGACGACGGAAACGACGCGACGTGCATCGGCGCGTTCGCGGGGCTGATCACGGCCGCGCACGCGAGACGCATCGTGGAGCGGCCGGCGCGCGCGCGAGAGGAGCGCGCGCGATGACGAGTCGGCACGGCGCGAGTGCAAGTTTCAAAGTGACGACTGGACTCGATCTGAGCACTCTGGCGAGATCTTCTTCAGTTCGCGGCGCGCGCGACGGGGAGGAGCGCCAGCCATGGCGCCCCGCTTCGTGTTCCCCGTGCCGATCATCCGCGGATGGACCAGCGGGAGCGACCCCAAGCGCGGCGGCGGCGGGGGGGGGGCGAGCTTCAACGGGAAGAAGGCGTCGTTGCGACCGAAATTCGTCGCGACGTACGAGTACCTCCTGCGCGGGACGGAGACGGAGGGGTCCCCCGCGCCGCGACGCGCCGAGCCGCGGTTCTGGGACGACCTCTTCCTTCTCGACGTGAACCACCAGTTCCTCGCGGACGCGCTGCGGAAGCTCTCGGAGCGAGAGCTGTTGGAGCGCGCTCCCGCGGTGACCGAGATCTGCGCGCGGTGCCTCGACTTCGCGCGCCTCGAACCGCCGTCGTCGTCGTCGTCGTCCGGATCGAATACGAACGAGACGATCGTCCGATCCGGCCCGGACTTGCTCCGGAGCTCGCGCGCGCTCGAGACGCTCGTCGTGATCCTCACCGTCGTGTCCAGGCGGAAGTTCGCGGAGCGGGGGCTCGGCGTCATCGACGTCTGCGCCGGCGGCGAGAAGGGCGCGGACGCCTTCTTCGCGAGGCTCATCGCCGGGTGCGCGTCGCTCGCCGCGAATCATCTTCAGCCCTGCGCGCTTCGACGGCTCGCCCTGCGCGCGCTGCTCGCGGTGTGCACCGCGAAGGATAACGTCAGCGGGAACGCGCTGTGCGGGTACTTCATGGTGAACGACGCGTACGAGCCGCTTATGAAGATTCTCATCGCGAGCGTGGACGTCCCGGGCGGAGGGTCGGACAGCGCGAGGACGCCGGCGGCGACGGCGCTGAGAAACGGCGCGAGCGGGTTCGGGAAGGATTCCCTGGGGGAGACGACGAGCATCGACGTGATGCTCGGCGGTGACGGCGGTGACGGCGGCGTTACGAATACCGCCGCGGATACCGCCGCGAAAGAGAAGGAGGCGACGGGGGCGGCGTCGTTGGGGACGACGCGCGAGCGCGAACGCCTGCGCGAGGAAGCGGCGTACCTCTTCGCCGCGCTCCTGAGCTGGCGCGAGAGCGCGAACGCGTACGCCAAGGCGCTCGAGCGCGCGGACGGCGTCGAGCTATCGGTGATCCTTCGCGTCGCGTGCGCGCTGCTCGCGTCGCCGCCGACCGCCGCCGCCGCCGACGCCTCAGATCCGAACCAGACGACGGTCGCCTCGACGCTCGCCGGCGCGGGCGCGTCCATAGGAAGCGTCGTCGAGAACGTCTCGTCCGCGGTCTTCGGCGCCGCGGCGCCTCCCGCGCCGGACGATCCCATCGATTCGCTCATGACCTGGCTCGGGTACGACCCGTCGAGCGACGACGACGCCGCGGCGGCGGCGGGCGGCGACGCGCGGCGATGGGAAATTTCCCCGCCGCCGTGCGCGGGTCTGCTTCTTCTGCACGGTCTCGTATCGCACAGCGGCTTGCTTCACCTCCCGAGCGCGTGGCTGCGGATCACGCCCAAGCCGAACGAGATGCTGCACGGCGTGCCCATCTCGCAGCGGTGGCACGAAGCGCTCGGGAGGGTGCTGTGTTACTCGCGTCGGCTGTGCGCGTTTTCGCCCCCTCCGGCGGGGACCGTCGCGCCGCCGCCGCCGCCCGCGACCGTCGCCGCGGCGTCGAGCGACGACGCGACCGCGACATCGTCGTCGTCGTGGTTCAACTGGATCACGGACTACGGCGGCGCCGCGGGCGGGGACGGAAAAGGCTTCGCCGCGAAGGCGAAACGCGTCCAAAACCAGAGCCTCGCGTCTCACGCGGCGAGCCCGCGGAAGACGTGGGTCGGCGCCGGGTCCACGAAAGGCGGCGGCGCGTGGGTCGTGCAGGACGACGACGCGACCGACGCGCGCCTGGAGTTCGCGTCCGCGCAGGCGAACCTGTCGTTGTCGCTGTTGAGGACGTTGATGGACGATCAGGTGCGTTCTATACACTGGTTCCCATACGACCGCGTCGGCGTGGTGAACGCCGATCCTTAAGGACTTTTCCCGGCGTTCCTCTCCGCCCACCCCTCGCTTTCAATCTCCGCCCGCGGTGCCTTTCAACTCCACCTGACGTCTTTGAACTCCACCCCGACGTTCGCTCGTATGGAACGACCCTCAGTCGGCGGCGGAGTTTCTTCACGGGACGGACATCTCTCGGCTCGCCGTGGACGCCGCTTCGTCTTCTTCCGGCGCCGCGTCGTCTTCGACCGCGACCGCGTCGCGGCCGATCGCGGCGGCGATCTTAGAGCTCCTGTCCGGGGTGTTATACCGCGGCGCGCCCGGGAAACGAAACGCCGTCGCGACCGTCGCCGTCGAGTCGCACGCGGTGTACGTGATTCACCGGGTGTTACAAACGCAAATCGCGAAAGGCGGGCGGGGCTTACCGTTCCGCTGGAGCCTTCTGTGGGACGGTCTCCTCGCGGTGCTCCGCAGGTGCGCGAAGGACGTCTCCGGCGCCGCCGGGGACGCGCTCGGGTCGCCCGGCGTCTGCGTCCTCGTCTCTCAGACCATGAACGCGATCTCGTTCATCCTCGTGAATCGCGGCGCGTTGCTGTCGCGGGCGGAGGACATCGCGCCGCTGATTCTCGCGTTCGTGCTCGAGGAGCAGGAGACGTTTGCGCCGATCGCGCACGGCGCGGCGATGCACGGGTACCTGGTGCAGCAGAGCGGCGGCGGCGGCGGCGGCGGCGGCGGCGGGAGAGGAAGCGCGGCGGAGCGCTCGCGCGGCGCCGCGGGCGTGCGCATGGAGAACGTGCACCACGCGCAGCAGCACTTCCGGACCGCGCCGAGGGATAAGGACGCCCTGCGCGTCGCGATCGAGCGAGGGTTGGCGCTTCTGACGTTCCCGGTGAAGGATCGGTTGGACGCGGGGTGGGGGCTGCGCGCGGCGCCGAGCGCCGGAGGCGGGGTTGCGGGTGGGGACGGTACCGGTTTCGGCGCGGCGGGCTCGAGCGCGAGCGCGGAGAGGGTCGTCGCGAACAGCACGCGGTGCCTCGTCGTGGAGCTCTCCCGAGGGGTCGTGTCGAGCGTCCCGGAGGGGCTGAAGCCGGCCATACCCGAGCACTGAGGACGTAGTTTAGTCACGAGGTGGGCGACGTTGGGTCCATAAAAAATAAAAACACGCCGCCGTCGCGTCTCGGCCGTCTCGTCACTCGCTAGCGCTCGCCTTTTCCTCCCCGCCCGCGGCCATCACGTCCACGAGCTTCTCACCTCTGACCAACCCCGTGATCGCCCTCGTCGTCACGTGCGAGATCGCGCCCGTGGGCCCGAAGAACAGACACAACAGGAGCGAGTGCGCGGCGAAGACGTCGTTTTTTCTCGCGTCGAGATATATCCACCGCCCCGCGAAGAGATCCATGGCGATGAAGTGCGCCCACCCCACGGCGACGCACCACTCGTACGAGAACCCCTTCGCGAGCGCCGCGAGGTCGGGCTTGCCCGTGCTGAACGCGTCGAGGATTCGAGGGTCGTGGAAGCTGTACCACGTGAGGTACACGTAAACGAAACCGCAGACGCACGGGACGAGGGCGGAGTCCATGACGGCTCTCGTGACGCCGCTCTTCGGCGCGAAGATCATGCCGAGCCACAGCGGGAAGATGGCGACGTTCTCGACGTTGAAGACCGTCTCCGGGTCGGGGATCCAAGCCAGCTCCTCGGGCGGGACCCAGATCGCCCTCGGCGCGATCGATGCGCCGCGCGACGACGACGACGACGATGGATTATTTCCACCTCGCGCGACGCGTCCGCGACCGCTCGCGGCGGGTCCCGGCGCCGCGCGAACGCGAGGGATCGAGGCGCTCCGCTCGAGATGGCGTCGCGGGCGAGCGCGCGGGCGCGTCGCCGAGCCGAGCGTGCACGCGGTCGTCGACATCGCGGCGCGCGCGCGGGGCGCGGGGACGTCTGGCAGATGGTCCCCGTCCACGTGGCGTCGGACGACGCGAAAAGCAAAACCTGATGATGCTGATGACGCGCGTGCCTTCCCCGAATTCGATCGAGACGGCGACGCGGTCGCGGCGTCGGGTCACACCCGCCGCCCGCGGCTCCGGACGGACGATCGCGCGTCGTCGGTGCCGTCGCGCCGGGGAGATCGCATCGCGCGCGCGGAACGCGCGGAGCGCGTCGATCGCGGAGATCGGAGGCGGGCGACCGCGTGGGGCGGCGAGAGGCAATTCGCCTCCTCGAAAAAGCGCATCCGTCGGGGGGGGGGGGATCCGATGGAGTACGACGGCAGCTCGCAGGCGCTGGAGGACCCGTCGCCCGATGAGCTCGCGCGCGGGAACCCGCTCTTCGACCGTCGCGGCAGCGCGCTGTACGGCGGCGCGACGCCCACGGGGAGCGCGCGCGCGATCGACGACGCCGGCGTCGGCGTCGCCGGCGGCGGCGACGGGAGCCCGCTCGGAAACGGCGCGGGGGAGGCGCTCGCCGGGGAGACGCGCGACAGCCCCGGCGGCGGCGCCGCCGCGGGCCGCGAGAACCCGCGCTCGTTCTGGGAGAAGACGCTCGGCGCGGGCGGCGGCGTCGGCGCCGCCGCCGCCGCGAGCCCCGCGGCCGCGCCGAGGACCTCCGGCGGGTTCTACGACGCGACCACCGAGGGGCCCGGGCGACGCGCGAGCGGCGACCGCTACGCGTTCGACACGCTCGACGCGACGAATCACGACGCGTTGGACACGCTGGGAAGCGACGAGCCGGACGCGCATCAGGACCTCTACGACGCCGCGGACGCGGCGCTGAGACGCGCGGACCCGCCGCGGTGGGAGGAGGAGAGCGGTCGGTTGTACGCCGCGAACCCGCCGAACGCGGCGTTCCCGAGCCGACGCATCTCCACGGGGGCGGAGAAGAAAAAGGCGTCGGGGTCGCGTCATCGGGAGTACAGTACAAAATCCTCCCGCGACGCCGCGCGCGAGGAACGGAAGAGACTCGCGGCCGAGCGCGCCGAGCGCGAGTCCTTCGCCGCCGCGTACGCGCTCGATGATGATACGCGCGCGAGAGACGGAGGAGACGACGCGAGGGACGTCGCGAGGGACGACCGCGCGAGGCGATCGCCCACGATGTGGGACACGCTGCACTCGCAGCAGAGCGAGATCGAACACGCCGCGCCCGAAGCCGACGAGCACAAGATGACGAAACTCTCCATCGCCGCGGCGGAGGATCGGCTGTCGTGGAAGCTCGAGAACGGCGCGCTCGGGTGCGGCGGCGGCGGCAGCAGCGCGGCGATGCTGGACCGCATCGGCGACCCCCCGGAGCGACAGAAGGAGTACGTCGACGAGGCGGAGCTGGAAGACTTCGCGGAGAGCGCCGGAGAGCGCGCGCGGATCGGGATCGGCTCGGGCGCGTATAACTGGACGACGCTGGACGCGACCAACGAGTACGACGAGCGCGCGGCGAACAGGGGGCTCGCGAGCGAGGGCGTCGCGAAGACGAACGCCGCGCACGATGGCGCCGTGCGCGCGCGCGTGGACCAGCTGTGGAAGCTGTCGAGTTCGTATTTACCGTCGGACGTGCCGTCGATTCAGCGGAGCCTCGTGAAACACGTGGAGTACACGCTCGCGCGGCGGCGGTACAAGTTCGACCGGAACTCGTTCTACCAGGCCACCGCGCACTCGATCCGCGACCGGCTCATCGAGCGGTGGACGGACACGCAGCAGTTCTACGCGTCGAGGGACGGGAAGCGGATGTATTACCTATCTCTCGAGTTCCTCGTCGGCCGGTCGTTGGGAAACGCGGTGAGCAACCTGGGCCTGCGCGGCGCGTACGCGGACGCGCTGCAGCAGCTCGGGTACGATCTCGAGAGCATCGTCGCGCAGGAGCGCGAGCCCGCGCTCGGGAACGGCGGGCTGGGCAGGCTCGCGTCGTGCTTCATGGACACGCTCGCGACGTTGAACTACCCCGCGTGGGGATACGGGTTGCGGTATAAATACGGGATGTTCGAGCAGAGAATCGTGGACGGGAAACAGGTGGAATTTCCGGATTACTGGCTCACGCACGGCAACCCGTGGGAGGTGGAGCGGCTGGACGTGAAGTACCTCGTGCGCCTGTACGGCCAGGTGAACAACTACGTGGACGAGCGAAGTGGGGAGACGAGGTATCGGTGGGAGGGCGGCGAGGTGGTCGTCGCCGTCGCGTACGACACGCCCATCCCGGGCTACGGCACGTACAACACCAATAACATGCGTCTGTGGTCGAGCAAACCGAGCCACGAGTTCGATCTCGCGTGCTTCAACGCGGGGAATTACTACGGCGCCGTGGAGGCGAAGGAGCGGTGCGAGAGCATCACAAGCGTGCTGTACCCGTCGGACGACAACGACGCCGGGAAGGCGTTGCGGCTGAAGCAGCAGTTCTTCTTCGTCAGGTGCGTTCTGTGCGAACGTTTCGTTTTTCACCCGTCGCCCGGTTTCAACACTCGATCGCGTTTTATTCAACTGACCGATGAACGTATCATATTTTGTATGGAACGACCCTCAGCGCCACGCTGCAGGACGTCTTGCGTCGGTACAAGAAACGCGTCGCGCCCGGGCGGACGCTGAAACACCTGCCGGAAAAAGTCGCGATCCAGCTCAACGACACGCACCCGTCCATCTCCATCCCGGAGCTCATGCGGTTGCTCCTGGACGACGAGCTGCTCCCGTGGGACGACGCGTGGGACATCGCGAGGATGACGTTCGGGTACACCAATCACACGATTCTCCCGGAGGCGCTGGAGAAGTGGCCGGTGCCGATGCTCACGGAGCTCCTCCCGCGGCACATGCAGATCATCTACGAGATCAACCACCGATTCTTGCAAGAGGTTGACGCGATGTGGCCCGGGGACACGCAGAAGCTCGCGGCGATGAGCATCATCGAGGAGAGCACGCCGAAGATGGTGCGGATGGCGCACTTGGCCGTCGTCGGCTCGCACGTCGTCAACGGCGTCGCGGAGATTCACACCGCGCTCGTCAAGACGCGGCTCTTTCCCGAGTTTAACGAGATGTATCCGGGGAGGATAAAAAACGTCACCAACGGCGTGACGCCGCGGCGGTGGATCTTGCAGGCGAACCCGGCGATGAGCAGCATCTTCACGTCCATCTTGGGGCCCGGGTGGGTGAACGATCTGCGACGGTTGGAGACGCTCAAGCCGCTGGCGCGAGAGCCGAGCCTGCAGCGGCAGTGGACGCACGCGAAGCGGTTCAACAAGGAGCGGCTCGCGGCGTGGATCAAGGCGAACATGAACGTCGACCTGATGCCGAACGCGGTGTACGACATGCAGGTGAAGCGGATACACGAGTACAAGAGGCAGATGCTGAACATCTTGGGCATCATTCATCGATACGCGACCATCGCGAGCGCGAGCGCGGAGCAGCGAAAGTCGATCCAGCCGCGCGTGTGCATCCTCGCCGGGAAAGCCGCGCCCGGGTACGAGATCGCGAAGAAGATCATCCAGCTCGCGTGCGGCGTCGCCAAGGTGATCAACAACGACGTGCGATGCGCGGGGCGTCTGCAGGTGGTCTTCATCCCAAACTTCAACGTCTCTCTCGCGGAGCTCATCATCCCCGCGTCGGACGTCTCTCAGCACATCTCCACCGCCGGCATGGAGGCGAGCGGCACGGGGAACATGAAGTTCGTCATGAACGGCGGGCTGATCATCGGGACGTTGGACGGCGCCAACGTGGAGATCGCGCGCGCGGTGGGGGAGGACGACGTGTTCGTGTTCGGCGCCACCGCGGACGAGGTGGCGGCGTTGAGGAGCTCGATGCACAAGCGAGAGCCGCGGATCGACGAGAGGCTGGCGCGCGTGTTCCGCATGATTCGCTCCGGGGTGTTCGGGTCGGCGGATAACTACGAGAGGCTCTTGGACGGACTGACGCCGTCGAAGGATTTCTATCTCTTGTGCCACGACTTCCCGTCGTACTTGGACGCGATGGACGCGGCGGACGCGGCGTATCGCGACAAGGACGAGTGGACGGCGAAGTGCATCAAAGCCGCGTGCTCGATGTGGGCCTTCTCGAGCGATCGCACGATACGCGAGTACGCCAGGGACGTGTGGGGGATGGAGCCGCAGCCGTTTAACCCGCCGCACCACGCGCGCACGCGCGCGAGCGTCGACGGCGGGAGTCGACGGCTGAGCTTCGACAAGCAGATGCACACGACCATCGGCGCGTGAGAAGGTTACAGGTATTTGTATCCGTGTTGTTTTCGATTCGAAAGAGCACCCCGCGACGCGTCATTCGTCGCCGCCCAGCGCCGCGAACGGGTTCGACGGCGCGGTTTTCTTCGCCGCGGGCGCGGACCTTCCCCCGCCCTTCGCGGCTTGCGTCAGCCACCCCGACGAATTCCCGCCGCCGCCGCCGCCGCCGGACGCCGCCTTTTTCTTAGCCGGCGCGGGCGCCTTTTGCGTGAACAACACCGCTCGGCACTCGTCCTCGAACCACCCTTTATCCTCCCCTTCCAACGCCGCGATGCGCTCCTCGATCTGCGGCTTCTTCGCGAGCTTCGCGACGTCCGCCCCCTTCAGCAACTTCCCTCCCGAAGCCTTCTCGAGCGCCTCCAAAGCCTTGAGCTCCGCGCGCAAATCGTTCAGCTCTCTCTCGTTCGCCATCGCGTACACGATCGGCTTGAACGACGCGATCGCGTCCGACTTCTCGATCAATTGAACGCGCTTCCCCTCGAGCGTCTCTCGCTTCTTTTGCTTCCCCTCCGCGTCCGCGGTCGCGATCATGACGTCGAGCTCCTCGAGCTTGGACGCCAGGTCACCAATCATCGCCTTCTGCTCGCCCTTCGTGAGCCGCCCTTTGCTCACCATCTTCTCGAGCTCCGCGTTCAGGTGGTCCACCTTGGACGAGACGTCCACCATGCTGTCGTACATCTCTTGCTCCTGCTCCGTGAGCCTCTGCTGCTCCACGAGCATATTCTCGAGCTGCTCCAGCGCGCTCTGAAGCACGCGCATGCGTTTGAGGAGCGCGCGCTTTTGCGAAAACGACGGCACGTTCATCGCGACGAGGTCGATAAACTCCTCGAACGTGCACGAGCAGCACTGATACTCGGGCGACCGCGCGTTCCCGCCGCCGGTTCGATCCCCGCCGCCGTTAACGCCGTCGCCGTCGCCGCCCACGGACACGATCTCCACCTTCGGGAACACGTGCAGGTACTTGAGATCCTTGTCCGTGTCGTGCTGGTACTTGTACGTCCCCGCGCACTCCGCGCACGCGCTCGCGCCGCGGTCCTCCTCCAGGCCCGCGGCGCGCAGCGCCTCGGTGAAGTGCTTGAGCATGTCCGGGTCGTACTTGGCGCGCGTCTTCTTCCCGCCGCCGATGACGAACTTGCACGCGACGTACGACTTCGCCGGCAGCGTCGTCCCGAGGCACGAGCCGACGAGATCGTGCAGCCATCCGGGGGTGAACCCGGCGAGGTCGTACTGCTCGCTGTCGCCGTTCGACGCGTTGAGCTTGATCTCGTCGATGAGCGCGGACGCCATGACGGAACTGGTCGGGCGCGGGCGGGCGGCGCCGACGTCGGCCTGCCCACGACGACGACGCGCGGGGGGGGCGGGGGGATGTGACGCGCGGCGTCGACGCATCTTTCTCGAGTCTTCTCGCCGGCGAACCTTCGTCGAGAAGTACGTGCTGTAACGTTAGGAGTTTTCCGTGGTCTAGTAGTTAGTCGTCGTATGTACATCGCGTTAAATCCCCTCCCTCCCTCTCTACGATACCCGCCCACCCTCTTCTCTCCTCTCTCAACACGACGTCCGTCCGTCACACCATCGAGTGCACGATGACGTTCCGCTCCGCGTCGTGCGTGAACCGCGCCGACGCGAACGCGGGGGAGCCGTAAAACCGCGTCAAGTCTTCGACGCCGTACTCCCTCGCCTTGTCCTCCAACAGCTTGCATCGCACCGTCGTGGTCCCGCCCTGCTGCGACTCGCTGTTCGCGCCGCCGCCGCTCGCGGTATTGTTCGCGGTGCCCGCGCCGACGGAGTCCCAGTAGTTCATCTCTCTGACGATGTCGCGCAGGATGTTCAGAAGGAGCTGATCGTAGTCGCGGTGGAAGTGCGTGTACCGCGCGAACTTCTTCCCCAGCGCCTTTTGCACGGAGAGCTTCTGCGTCCCGATAAAGCTCTGGAGCATCACCGCGATCGCGGCGTCGATGTCTTCGCTGCTGACGTGTTCGGACAACCGCATAGACGCCCTCGCCTCGGACATGCGGATGATGGACTCGACGTGCCGCACCGCGACGGGCATGCCCTCGCGCGTGACCGACTCTCTCCTCAGTTCCGCGTACACCTGCGAAATTTTCGGAAGGTCGCCGCTGCTGAGCTTCGGTCGCACGAACCGCTTCGCGTACGCGATGTACTTCCTCAGCAAGTCCTGCGGGATGAGCTCCACGTCCGGCGAGTCGTCCGGAACGTCGGTCAGCGACCCTTTGAAAACGTCGCCCAGAGGCTCGTCCGGGTCCCGATCCGGATGCGACTTGAAGTGCGACCCGACGATGAACTTGGCCAGTCGCTCGTCCAGCACCGGGTCGACGATATCCTTCACGACGCACATGATGTCGAACCGCGATAAGATCGGGTCCGTGAGCTCGACGTTGTCGCTGAACGTGCGCGAGCTGTCGTACCGCCCCCCGACCGGGTTCGCGGCCGCCATGACGGAGCACCGCGCTTGCAGCGACGTCACGATGCCCGCCTTGGAGATGGAGATGGACTGCTGCTCCATCGCCTCGTGGATGGAGACGCGGTCTTGGTCGTTCATCTTGTCGAACTCGTCGATGAGGCACACGCCGCGGTCCGCGAGGACGAGCGCGCCGCCTTCCAGGACCCACTCCTTCGTGATGTGGTCTTTGTGCACCGCGGCGGTTAAACCGACCGCGGACGCGCCTTTCCCCGTGGTGTACACCGCGCGGGACGCCGTCTTTTCGACGTATTTTAAAAACTGCGACTTGGCGACCCCGGGGTCGCCGAGAAGCAGGAGGTTGATGTCGCCTCTCAGGCGCGTCTTTCCCTTGACGATCTTCTCCTGTCCCCCGAACAGCGCGAGCGCGATCCCGGCCTTGATGTCGTCGTGCCCGTGAATCGAGGGCGCCATGGACTTGACGATGCGTTGGCACACGCGAGGGTCGCGCGACAGCCTTCGAATCTCTTCCTTGTCCTCGTCCGTGAGCGTGTGCGTCGAATACAGATCGCTCTTTTTCAACAGGTGATTCGCCTCCACGTGCGTGGAGAACACCGGGAACCCGTTCCGCATGTTCAGCGAGTGCTCGTAGTTGTTGGCGTATATGCCGGTGACCACCACCTGGTCCCCCGGCTTGGCGCCGTCGATGAGGTCGTTGAGCATGATGATCTCTTTACTCCGCGGCAGCCGCCCCGCGGGGACGTTCCCGGGCGACTCCTGCAGCGTCATCCGCTGAAAGTTCCGGTACACCGTCCGCTCCGTGTTCACCTTCCACGGCCCTTTGCTCTGGCAGTCCGGGCACGACCCCGGCCTGAGCTCCTCGCCGGCGCCGTTTTGATAGATGGGCCCGACGACGAACCCGCACTTCGAGCAGTCGTACATCACCTCCCTCAACTGCGGAAACACCCCGGTCCGTCGCGTCACGACGCCCTCGATCTTGATCAGGCAGTTCAGATGCGCCTGGCGAATGTCGCGTATCTGATCCATGATCGGCAGCCCCGTGATCCGCGTGAAGATGCGGCCGTGAATGTCCCCGTACGAAGGGTACAGCTTCAGCGCCTCTTGTTTCGCGACTTCGTCGAACATCGCCAACATGTCCGCGGGCGCGTCCGCGACCCACACCGCGAGGATCGGCTCTCTCTCCGCTAAGTGCAGGTACGACACCTCCAACGACTGGCCGTTCGCGACGCACATCTCGCGGATCCTGATCCTGTACACGGGCGCGCCGTCGCCGTCCTTCTCGACGTACTTGCGAAGGAACCGGGAAAACTTTTTCCGAATCTCGCTCTTCGTGCGTTCTGCCGGGGTGGAGTTGAAAGGCGTCAGTTGAAGTTGAAAGGCGCCGAGGGCGGGTATTGAAAGCGAGGGGTGGGCGGAGAGAGACGACGGCGAAAGTCCTTAAGGAGCGGCGTTCACCACGCGAACGCGGTCGTATGGGAACCAGTGTGAGGAAGGAGGACGCGCGCACCGCGCGTGATCCACTCCCGCAGCGGGCAGTCGTAGTTTTCGATGTCCACCTCGAACTCCTCCTCGTCTTCCTGCGAGCGTCGCGCGGCGTGGTGTCATCGTGTCAGGTCGTGACGAGACGCGACGGCGAGGGATGGCGTCGTGTGGTCGCGAAGAGAGCGATCGGTCGGGTCGCGGAGAGAAAAGGGTTCGGGGCGCGATCGATCGAAGGATCGATCGATCGATCGATGTTGTTCGTTTCGCGGGCCGACCCGCGCACCTCCTCGTCGTCCTCGTCGCGATCCCCCGCGCGTCGTCGCCGCTGCTGCCTGCGCCACTGATCGTCGTCGTCGTCCGCCTCCAACGCCCTCGGCCTGACGCGCCCACCGGTCATCCCCGGCCGCTGACCTTCCCTCGCGTCTCGCTCCTCGAGCTCCGCTTCCGCGCGGAGCCTCGCCTCGAGCTCCGCCTCCGGGTCGTAGTCCTCGGGCGGCTCCGCGATCCCGTCCGCTTCGTACTGATCGAGGTGCGCCATCGGACGGTAATCCCTGCGCGGATGGCGGCGAACGGAGGCGACGACGCGCGGGACGACGTCAGCGCGAGCGGGATGGGGGGTGGGGGTTGGTGCGGGGAGGGGGAGGGAGGACAGCAGGGGTGCCAGATCGCGATTTCATTTCCCTCCTCGAGCGCGGAGGGAGAGAGGGAGAGGGCGCACATCTCTTGGTTCTCGAACAGATCCTCGCCGTCGTCGTCCTCCTCCTCCTCCTCGTCGCTGACGCGCTCGAGGTCCGAGAACGGGTCGTCATCGCCGCCGACCGCCGCGTCGTCGCCGTAATCGTCCGCCTCGTCGCGAGGGTCCATCGCGCGCGTCTTCCGCCGCCGACGCGCGATCGGTTCTGCTGCCTTTGGCCGGGCGCGAGCGCTCGAACGACCCGCGACGAAGTTTCAAACGCGAAGAGGCCTCGGCGCGGCGCGTCAGCGCTCATTCCGCCCGAGGCGCCGCGGACGACGCCGCGATGGAGGCGTCCAAGCGCGTCGTGTTCGTGTCCGTCAAGGGGCGGGACGACAGCAGGCCGAGGACGCGAAGGAAGCGCGCGCTGGGGTGCGTCTCGAGCGTCGCGCCGCGTCGTCGTCGCCGCGGGCCGTCCATCGTCGCGCGCGCTCGGTCGTCATTCCTCGGCGACGACGACGAGTCGAACGGCGTCTTCTTCGTCCTCTCTCCTCGTCCCTCGACCGCGTCGTCGTCCGACCCATCGAGTCGCGGGTCGCCCTTCATCGCGTCGTCGCATCGCGCCGCGCCTCGCCTCGCCTCGCCGCTGACCCCTCGTCGATCCCTCCCTCCCTCCCTCCCTCCCTCCGCAGCGTGAGCGAGACCGCGACGTGGGACGAGTTCGTCGCGCTCATCCGCGCGCGCCTGCAGCTGGAGAACGTCCGAGCCATCTACCACGCGTCGACGATGACGCCGCTGACGTCGATGAACGATCTGCAGGACATCGAGGACCTCGTCGTGGACGGCGACGAGGCCGCGAGCGTGTCGATTCCCATTCCCGCGACGTCGACCGGAGGTTCGAACGGAGGCGCCGCGGCGGCGGGCACGGGCGCGGCGGCGAAGGCGTCGGGGAAATCCAAACCCAAGTCGACGCTCCCGAGGCTCGCGCCCAAAGCCCGCGATACGCCGCTCGGACGCAAAGGCCGCGACGGCGAGGACCCGGACGGCGGAGATAAGTACAAGAAGCGCGCCAGCGTCTTCATGCAGTTCGTGCAGAAGATCGCGCCGTCGTGGGGAGGCGCTTTGGAGGCGCAAGACGCGTTGGACGCGTTGGAGAAGGGCGCGAGCCGCGCGGTGCTCGGGACGCCGGGAAGGGTCGGCGGGGTCAAGAGCCGGGGTCGGCGGGGTCGGCGGGGTCGGGACCCGCGGAGTTTGATCGGTGGGCTCGCGATCGCGTGTTCGGTCGCGACGATGGTGTATCTGTACAACAAGTTAGGCGCGGCGACCGCGGCGGCGGGAGGAGGGCCGTAGCACGTGATGAGTTGTTAGGTCACGCGAGCGTAGAACGTTCATCCCTCCGTTCGACGGGCGCGCACTTCGTCGCGCGCGCGCACGGCGAGCGCCATGCGAGCGATGGCGGGCGCGATGGCGGGCGCGGCCGCGATGGCGTCGCCGCTCCGCGGTCGCGTTCGCGGCGCGAAGGTTCTCGCCCTGGCCGAACGCGCGCGCGGGAACGGAGGCGCGCGGCATCGCGCGAGCGCGTCGTCGTCGTCGTCGTCGTCGTCGTCCTCCTCCTCCTCCTCTTCCGCGTCGGACGCCGCCGCGGCCGCGACCGCGGACGGCGCGGCATCCTGGGAGCGCTTCTACTGCGTCCACTCCGGCAAGGACTTGTCGTCGTCGTCGTCGTCGTCGTCGTCGTCCGCGCCGCGCGCCGCGAGCGTCCGCGCGTTCAAGGACCGGCACTACCTCCGACGCGAGTTCGCCGACCTGATGCCCGCGTCCGTCCTCGCGGACCCCTCCGCGTGGGTCCCGCCGCTGACGCCCTCGTCGCTCCCGCCGCCGGAGACGTCCTCGGAAGACCACAAAGTGATCCTCGAGCTCGGGTGCGGCGTCGGGAACAGCGCGTTCCCGCTGATGCGCGCGAACCTAAACCTGTTCGTGCACGCGTGCGATTGCTCGCCCACCGCGATCGCTTCTCTCGTCGCGAACCCGGAGTACGACGCGCGGCGGTGCCACGCGTTCGTCGCGGACCTCTCCGAGGGGGACGCGCCGCTGCGAGGCGTGATCGGCGACGCGTCCGTCGACGCGGTGACCGGGGTGTTCTTCTTCAGCGCGCTGGACGCGGCGACGTTTCGACGCGTCGTCGGCGAGTGTCGGAGGGCGTTGAAACCCGGCGGCGTCGTGTTGTTCCGGGATTACTCCGTCGACGACGTGAAGAACGGCGGCCGCGCCAGAGGGACCAGAGGGAAGGGAGGGAAGGGAGGGACGCGCGGGGGCGGCGAGGGGGAGGGCGATGGCGAGGGCGAGGGGGAGGGCGGCGATGGCGACGCGGGCGGGTTGGACCTCACCCCCGGGGAAAACATCGGCGGAGACGCGTGGGTGCGTCCGGACGGCACGCTCGCGGTGTTTACGGATGAAACGGCCGTCACGGAGGCGTTTCACTCCGCGGGGTTCACGGGCGAGTGCTGGACCGTGACGCACGAGGTCGTGAATCGGAAGTTGGGCGTGACGATCGTCCGCAGCTTCCTCCAGGGGCGGTTCGTGAAGTAGGCACCTTTTCATCATTAGGTTTCGAGAGAGGTCTCCGTCTCCCCGCCCCGTTCTGTCACACCCTCGCGCGCGATGGCGACGACGTCCTCGCGAGCCCTCCTCCGCGCGTTCGCGGCGTTCTCGCTCTTCGTCGCGACCGCCGCCGCCGCCGACGCCGACCCCACGTGCGGCGCGTCCTCGCCGCCGCCGTCGTCGTCGTCGCCGTCCCTCGTCGACATCACCGCGCCCGTCGACGCGTCGCTCGTGACGTGGGAGAAGGCGGACGGACTCGGCGCGTCCCATCGCGTCCAGTCCTCGTCGCGCGCCGACGGCGACGACGCGAACGTCTCCGAGCTCGCGTTCGGCGCGCACACCGGCACGCACGTGGACGCGCCGAGGCACTTCGCGAGAGACTCCGACGCCGGGATCGAGACGCTGTATCTGTCGTGGATGAACGGACCGGCGATGGTGATCGACGCGTTCGACGTCCCCGCGCTCACCGCGGAGGCGCTCGCGAGCCTCGACATCCCGCGCGGCGTCGAGCGCGTCGTCTTCCGCACGGACAACACGCGGCGGCGCTTGATGCGACTTCGCGCGTTTCAGAGGGACTACGTCGCGTTCACGGAGGACGGCGCGCGATGGATGGTTGACTTTAGACCGGACGTCAAAACCATCGGCGTGGATTACGTTTCGGTCGCGGCGTACGACCACCTCGTCGCCGCGCATCGGGTGCTTCTCGAGGCGGGGAAAGTCCCACTCGAGGGGTTGGTGATCCCGGAGGAGAGCGTTCGGAGTGGGTGGTGGCGGCTGCACTGCGCGCCGCTGTTGCTCATGGGGAGCGACGGCGCGCCCGCACGCGCGTGGCTCACCGAACTCGACTGAGGAGTAGACAGTCTGGTCGCGCGTCCGAGGAGTAGACAGTCTGGTCGCGCGTCGCGCGTCGTCTGATCGATGAAATAGTTGTGTAGTCAACATAGCCTCCCTCCCTCCCTCCCTCCCTCACTCACTCACGCGCTCACGCGGACGCGGGCACGGACGGTCGCGCCGGCCGCGCGGTCGCCGTCCCCGGCGTCACCGGCTCCCCGCCGGGCGTCGGCGCGTCGTTTTCATCCTTCCCGCCGAACCCGAGCGCTTTCCGGCTCTCTTGGAACCACTGGTTCGGGTGCTGCACGCCCTGCTCGATGCTCTTCCCGCCGTGCACCGCCTCGAACGTCATCCCGCACGCGATCTGGTAGTGCTTCCCCTTCGCCTTGTCGACGATCTCGTTCACTTGTCTCCCCGTGATCTGCAAGCCGCCGAGCGCCGCGCGTAAGCTCTCCTCGCCGAACGTCTTGTACGGACACCCGTGGTGCTCGCCCGGGCCGGGGTTCGCGCTGATGCACTTCATGCACGTGTGCGGGGTGTAATCCACGCGCTTACCCTCCTTGCCGTACGCGTGTCGCACCGCGTACGCGTACTCCTTCTCAAACTTCTCCGCTGGGATTTTCTTGCAAAACTCCGTCTTCCAAAACAGCATCGCCTCCTCCAGGGATAAGCCGATGCCTTTGAGGTACAGCTGCAGCTGCCGTCTGCCCTCGTGCCGAAGGTGGTGCTCCTTCTTCACCATGTTGAACAAGTTCTTCGCGCACAGCGGGAACGATTTCGCGGCGGCGCCGTTGAGGTCCTTGAGCGTGACGACGTCGCCGCCGCCCTCGCCGTTCGCGCCGCCCGCCTTCCCGTAGTCCCTGCCGAGGTACCGCTTCGAGAGCGACAGCACCACGGGCGCGAGCCGCTCCTTTTCCTCGCCCGCGACGTGCTGCGCCCACCGCCTGGACGCGACGACGAGGGCTTTGGACAGCCGCGACCGGAACGCGCCGACGACGAGCGACGCGAGTTGGTCCTGAGGGTCGTTCCATACAAAAAAAGTTCACCGGTCAGTTGAAAGGGGACGCGATCAAATGTTGAAACCGGGCGATGGGTGAAAAACTTTTGTTTAGAACGCACCTGGGGCACGTACGCCTTGCCTCCGGACATGAACACTCGGCGTCCGCGGACGAGGTCGGACACCTCCTCGAACGGGACGGCGTAGAACCCGGACGCGCCGTTCGCGAGCGCGGCGTTCGCGTCGTCCTTGCGCATCATCCCGTTGAGCGTGTTGTGGAGGTCGGCGCGGACGCGTTCAAACTCTTTCGCGTCGATCGGGTGGTAGTCCAGCCCGTTGTGCTGCAAGAACGCCGCCTGCTGCGCGCCCCTGAGCTGCCTGAAGCGGTGCCGGAACAGCGCGCACTCTTGCGCGAGGAACCACCGTCGAAGCTCCTCGGTCCTGCAGTACGCGAGCCGCAGCGCGAAGTGCGAGACTTCGTCCTTCCTCGTCTCCTCGTCCTCCAGGTGAAGCGATCCGCGCGTCAGGAGCTTGTCCTCCTTCGTGATCAGGAGCTCCATCTCCGCGGGCTTCTTCCCTCGCGAGAGCCCGTCGTCGATCGCTTTCAACACGCGCATGCGCTCGAGCGCGTAGAGCTCGAACTCCTCGAGCGCCACCTCCTTCGACGGCGCGTGCGCGTACATGGAGAGGTTCGTCCGCAGCGCGGCCGGGGATTTGTGCGATCCCGCGCTCCCGGGGGTGCGGCCGCCCTGGCCGAAGGTGGCGAACGCCGCGGCCTTGGCCTGGTCCTTCTTCCCGCCGAATTCGAACGCCATGATGCGTGTCCGTCCCTCGAACGACTCGACGGCGGGTCGTGCGAACGCGCGGGTCGCGTCCGGATCTCTGTCCTCGCGCGTGCCAAATTTCTCCAGCTTTTGAACTTTGAAAAACCGCGCTCATGTATTACGTGTGGTTATGGGCTGCTCCTGTCACATCAGCTGTACGAGTAGGTTCCTCCGAGGTTTCGCGAACCACTATCCCCGAGCGCGAGCACGCCCCGACGACGCCGCCGCCGCGAGGCCATGGAACTTCCACCGCGCAGGGCCAAGCGCGTGCGCTCGATCGAACCCGAATCCGACGACGAGAGTTCGAAAGTCGTCATCGTCGGGCCGCCGTCGGAACTCGAGCGCACGAAGAAGAGACTGGAAGCCACGAGAGCGGAGCTGGCGAGGACAAAGGCGACGCTCAAGACGACGGAGGCGACGCTCCAGACGACGGAGGCGACGCTCGCTCTAAAGACGAAGGTGGTGGACTCGTTCCTTCGACCTCAGCCCGTCGCGTTCGAGGTCGACGGCAACGTCGCGTGCGTCCTGATGTCGCACGTGTCGGACGTCAAGACCCGGCTCGCGCTCGCGCAGGTTGGGAAAGTGTGGCGCCGCGCGTCGAAGGAAGTGGCGTCGCTGCCCGCGTCTCTCGACTTCAGCCGCTGCCGTGGCTCGAAGTGCACTAAAGAGGCGAAGGTTGATCACGTGCATCACGTGCTACGCATCAATGGTCTGGACAAGCTCACCGAGGCGCGTTTCATGAGCCTTCTGCGTGTCGACGCGGGCTCCAACGATACATACCGGGTTTTACTCGGACGGCACCATCACAAAGCGGGGCGGTACAAAGAGGCGTTCAAGTGCTATGAAAGCGCTCTCGCCGCAGGCGATCACAGAGCCGAATACAGGCTCGGTGGATGCTACCGCTATGGTCGTGGCGTTAGTAAGAACGTGGTCATGGCTGTGAAGCTCTTCGAAAAAGGAGATGCTAAAGGTAGTTCCTGTTGCCAATACGAACTCGGCAGGTTATACGAACTCGGCGAAAGCGTCACGAAAGATATGTTCAAGGCGGTCGAGTACTGGAAGAAGGCCGCGAGGAAGGATTCAGCGCCTGCGAAGGAGAAGCTCGCGAGCCTCGGTCACCGATTCTGAAAACCACGCCGCGCAGACGCCCGCGCGAACGTCACGAGCGAACGAACGAACGAAACGCCATGTAATACGATTCGCAATCCGTCTCTATCACCTCGCCGCCGTCGTCGCCTCGCTACGTCCCCGGGTCCGCCGCCGCCGCCGTCGTCGCCTCGCTACGTCCCCGGGTCCGCCGCCGCCGCCGCCGCCGCCGACGCCGCCGCCGCGTCTCGCTTCTTCGGATTCTTCGCGCGCATCCGCGCCGCGAGCGTCACGTGCGCGGCGTAACACCCCTCGCACTGCCCGTCCACCCTCTTCACCTTCAGCGGCCGCTTCGGCGCGAACTCGTCCAGCAGCGCGCGCGTCGCCACCGGATCCGTCGCGCGCTCCAACGTCTCCTGCGCTCTCTCTGAGCTCCACGGACACGACGTCGACCGCGCGAGGAACTTCGCCGGGTCCTTCGCGTGCTCCACCTCGAGCGGCGTGGACTTCCTGTTCCCGCAGTCGCGCTCGCCGTTCGGTTTGAACAGCACGGTGAAATCCGTCCACCCCGCCCCGCCGCCGTCGCGACGGTTGACGTTCCGTATTCCGATTCCGCCGCCGCGCCCCCCTCGCGTCGGATCGCCGCACGTGATCCCCGGGCAGCCGATGAACGACGTGCTCCACGGCAGCGCCTGCGCGCACACCGGCTGCACCCGACGCATGCGGCCGTTCACGCTGACGCACACGGACTGCGGGTGGTGCGGCCCGGGGATCTGGTCGACCGGGAGCAGGGGGTCGCCCACCGCGAGCATCGGGTGCTTGCCGTTGACGCCGTCGAGGAGGACGACCTCGGGGGCTCGAGCGCGCGTCTTCGCCCGCGCCGGTCCCGGTCCCGGTCCTTCGCCGTCGCCGCCTCCCCCCGCCGCGTCGATCGACGTTCCGTCTCCACCCTCACCCCCTTCCCCTTCCCCGCCGCCGTCGGCGCGCTTTCTCTTCGCGCGCGCGCGATCGCCGCCGCCGCCGCCGCCCGGTCGCAGGCGATCGATCTCCTCCGCGTCGCTCTTCGTCTTCCGCCGCAACTCGTCGCACTCCGCCGCCAACGCTCTGAGCTCCTTCGCCGCCCTCGCGTGCGCTCTCTGCTCCGCGTGCAGCGCCCGCGTCGCGCGCGCCAGCTCGCCCGCCTTCTCCCTCGCCTCGTCCTTCACGCCCTTCACCGCGTCTTGCACCTCGCCTCTCTGCGCCGTCTTCCACGCGCGCTCCGTGACGCGCCGCGCGTGCTTGGCGCGGTGCGACGCCAACAGCTCAGGCTTTTTCGTGGTAAACGCGCACCCGTCGACGTCGCATCGCAGCGTCTCGGCGCGCGAGTGCATCGCCTTGACGTGGTACGTCAGCGAGTTCCTCGCGCGGAACGTCTTACCGCACCCCGGGTGCGCGCACGCGAACGGCCGCTCGTCCGTGTGCGTGCGCTCGTGCGCGACGAGGAGCTTCCGCTCGTAGAATCGCTTCTCGCATCCGTCGTGCGAGCATTGAAACTTTGGCGCCTCGCCCGAGTGCGCTCTTCGGACGTGCTTCGCGAGGTCCTGCGCCCACGCGAACTCCTTGCCGCATCCGGGGTGCTCGCACGCGACCTTTCCTCTCGGCGGCTTGGACGGCGGCGGGGCGCCGAGCGGTCGCGTCGCCGCGCCCATCATCGGCGGCGCGTGTCCGAGACCGCCGGGGTGACGATGGTGATGGTGATGTTGATGATGATGACCTGGATGCGTCGATGCGCCCGCGCTCGCGAGCCCGAGATCGCCCATCGACGCGAACGGCGGCATCGACGACGGGAGGCCCTGCGCGAAGACGTAGTTGGGGAACATGAACTGGTTCCCCACGCCTATGCCGAACGGCGCGTTGTTGCCGTCCATGGCGGGGGGATTACGCGGACCGGCGAGAGCGCGAGCGCGCCCTCGCGTCCCCGCGCGGACGACACTGCCCGGACTTTCTGTTCAACGTCTTTCCACTCTCCGACGCGACGCGGATAAGGGTTCGGGCATAGCGAGCCGCGCGGATGGCGGCGGCGACGCGCGCGGCGGCGCTCCTCCTCGGAGGCGCGCGCGCGCTCGCGCGGCGCCCGCGGCACGTGCGATGGCGCGCCGTCGCGAGCGGAGGCGGCGACGCGCGAGAGGCTCCGTCGAGAGGCGGACGGACGCGGACGGCGAAGGTCGGCACCGGCGACGACGACGCGTCGCCGCCGTCGTCGTCGTCGTCTCGGAGGCCGCGCCGACGCGTCGCGACGACGTCGCGCCCTCGCGGCGGCGGCGGCGACCCTCCCGGCGAGGCCAGCGCGCACCAGATCGCGTCCCTCGTCGTGTGGCTCAGAGCGCGCGGGGTCGACTTCGGCGACCGCGCGGCGTTCGCGCGCGTGCGCGGCATGGGCGTCGGCGGCGTCGCGACGCGAGATCTCGACGAGGGCGACGTCGTCTTCTCGCTCCCAATGCGCGACGCCACGCCCGCGCGAGCGCCGATCGTGATGACGACTGCGGCGGTGACGGACGTGGACGGGCCGTGCGCGCGGCTCGCGCGCGCGCTCGCGTCCGCGGGGCTCGTCCCTCGCGCGGACGACGACGCGGACGCGTCGTCAGAATCGCCGCTCGGAGGGTCGCGCGAGAGCGACCACGAGTTCCCTCTGGACGCCACGCGGACGTCGCTCCTCGCGCTCGGCGTCCTCCACGAGTCCGCGCATTCGCGCGACGACCCGCCGTCGCACTGGGCCACGTACGTCACGCTTCTCCCGCGTCGCGTCGGGTCGCTGATGGAGTGGGACGAGCGCGAGCTGAGCGCGTTGCAGGGGTCGCGGCACGCGACGCGCGCGCGAGAGAGAATCGCGTTGTTCGACGACGCGCGCGCGAAATGCTTCCCGGCGCTTCTTCGCGCGGACGAATCGCTGTTCGGAGAAGACGAGGCGACGCGGAGGGCGCATGAGTCGCCGCGCGCGTGGCGGTGGGCCGTCGCGACCGTCCTCGCGCGCGCGTTTTACTTCCCGGACGCGAACGAGCACGGTCTGTGCCCCGGATTGGACCTGTTCAATCACTGCTCCGAGGCGGAGAAGTGCGTCGTCGAGGACGGCACCGCGGACGACGAGGGCGACGAGGGCGACGAGGGCGAGGGTAAATACGCGCATAAAGAGGCACCCAGGGTGACGCTGCGCGCGGGCGTCGGCGGCGTCCCCGCCGGGACCCAAATTTTCCACGACTACGCGGACCACGCGCGCGGCGGGTGCCTGCTCGAGTTTGGGTTCACGCACGCTCCGAGCGCCGACGCGGCGGGGAGGGACGGACGCGCGGACCTGCACGCCGTGGACGTGTCGCTGTGGAGCGCACTCATCGAGGGCGATGACGACGACGGAAGGATCGACGAGCGGCTCGCGGCGGCGTCGGACGCGTCGCCGCGGCGATCGCTGACGTACGAGCTCAGCAACGTCTCGCCGCGGTGGGCGAAGGACGGCGGACGGAAGCGCGGGGTGGACTGCGTCCCGATCGACATGATGCGCGCCGCGCGCGCGCTGACGTTGTCTGCGAGCGAGCTCGACGAGGTGAAGTCGGCGAGGGCGTCGCGCGTCGGGGCCCCGGCGTTCGACGCGTCCGCGCCGCTGAATGAGACGCACGAGAAACGGGCGTTACTGGCGATCGCGCGCGCGTGCCGCGTCGAGCGCGCGGGGTACGACGTCGAGGGCGTCGCGGCGACGACGGCGGAGGAGGACGACGCCATCTTAGACGCGCTGCGCGCTCTCGGGGAGGGGGAAGGCGCCGCCGCTCTCGCGATCGACGGTCGACCGGAGCTCTCGTGGTGCGTCCCCGACGACGACGCGGACGCCGCGCGCGAGAGAGCGGAGACGCGGCGCCTCAGAGCGTCGCTCGCCGTGGAGGTTCGACGCGGGGAGAAGCTCTTATTGGAAGAAGTCGCCGCCGCGCTCGAGCGCGAGGCGGGCGCGGAGGATCCCTGACGCGAGCGTACTGTACTTACTGTACTTACTTCTCGCGGTGTTCGTATTCGCGTTCGCGTTCGCGTTCGTCGCCGCTCAGCACTACGTCGTCGCGCCGTACGACTCGTCGTCCCCCCCCTGAACCTGGTCCGTCGCGACGCTCGCCCGCCTCTTGTGCGTCGCCTTCGGCACGTTCAGCGTGACCCCTCTCCCGAGCACGAACGGAATCTTCCCTTGCGAAGACAGCCGCACGATCGCCGGCGGCTGCAGCCACGGCTCGCCGTCCACCTGCACCGGCAACGCCTCTCTTAACTCCAACTCCACGACCCGCCCCTGCGCGAGCCGGTGCGAGTGCGCGAACCCCATCCGTATCGCGCTCAGGTGTCCGACGCCGTACGTGGCGACCACCTCGACGAGCCCGTCGCCGATGTTGGGTTCGACGTAGTCGCGAAGCTCGTCCGCGCTCGACGGCTGCCCGCATCCGAAAAAGTCGATCCCCGTCGCGGAGGAGTGAATGTTGAAGCACTGGATCGCGCGCGCTCGCGATGGCACGGCCACCTCGACGCCGTCCACGCGAAGCGTGACCACGCCGGGGCGGATGTATTTCCGGCGCGAGAGGAGCTCCGTGATGCCCAGCCACGCGTGTCCGGCGACCACCTTGGTGACGCTGTCGGAGGGAGTTGAAAGGCGTCGGTCGAAAGGCGTCAGGGTGGAGTTGAAAGGCGTCGTAGGGTCGAGCGTCGTTGAAAGCGAGGGGTGGGCGGAGAGAAACGACGGGAAGAAAAGTCAAAGTCCTCAAGGAATGAAGTTCACAACGCGAACGGATTCGTACGGGAAGCAGTCTCGAAAGGAGTCTCGCTCACCTGTCGGAGCACGCGGGGGTTCGCTCGCGGAGTTGGTGGAACTGCATCGCGATCGACGCGTCGAAGCCGACGCTGAAGAAGCACACGGACGTCTTCGTGACCGCGCCGACGACGTCGTCGCGAAGCTCGTCCGCGTCGGACGCGGAGTCGTCTCGCGACTCGTCTTCATCGCTGGAGTCCGCCTCGAAGCCGAACCCGGCGGCGTCGAAATCGATCGAGTTTCCGATGGACGCTCTCGATCGAACCTTGCGACCGAACCCGACGCCGTTGATCGCGGGGCCGTGGAAGTCGCCGCCGCTGAGGACGCGCTGAATGCTTCGCCGCTCGCTGCTCCCGCCGCGGTCCGCGGCGGCGGCGGCGTTGGACCGGTCGCCGCGCGACGACGACGACGACGACGACGCGCGTTTGCCGCGCGCCCCGCTCGAGTCAAAATCCCCTCTTCGGTCCCCGTCCCCGCCGCCGCCGCCGCCGCCGCCGTTCGCGTCCCTCCCGTGACCGCGATGATTCTTCTTAAGCTTATCCGTCTTCATCGCCTTCGCTCCCGGGGGCGTCATCGGCGGCGGCGCGAACAGCGGGTCGGGCAGGTGCGGCAGATCGTCGCTCTCCATCGCGATCGCCCTCGCGATGTCGTGCGAGTACCGCACTCGCTCTTTACCTCGTCCGCCCTTCCTTCCCGGCCGCTCCGGGCTCTCCGCGATCGCTCGAAGGCTCGGCCGCGAGTTCGAGTTCCGCATCCCGCCGTCGCCGTTCGAACAGTCGCCGTAGCCGCCGTGTCTCTCGCCGGATCGCGCGCCCGCGGCGTCGCCCTCCTCTACGCCGTCTTCCAGGTACGAGTTTAACGTCACGACGCTGCCGAATCCGACGCCGTTTTCCCCGAACCCGCCTCTCCTGTGTCCGGCTCCGCCGCGCCCCAAGTCGCCGCCTCCTCGCGGCGACGCGAGCGCCTGCCCGCGCTCGAGCTGATCGTGCCCCACGCGCATTGGCGTCGCCTCCCACAGCCACGAGTCCACGCCGACGACTCTACCGCCGGCGACGTCGCGCGCGAACGTCGCTAAACTTTCCGCGCCGGTGAACGTGCCGCCCCAGCCGGTGACCCTCGCGAGCTCGTTTCCGGTGCCTAACGATAAAACGGCTATCGGTGGAACGTTTTTTGTCCCCGCGCGCCGCGACGCCTCCGCGACGAGCTCCGCGACCCACGACACGGTGCCGTCGCCGCCCGCGGCGACGAACCGTAAGCCGTCGCCGCCGCGGTGCGCTCGGACCATCGTCGCGAGCGTGGACATGAGAGCGTCGCGTCGTTTGAGGTACTCGTCCAGGTATATCACGCCGCACTTCGCCTCCGCGAGCTTCCGCGCGAGCGTGATGCCCTGAGACGGGAGGACGAGAGAGAGGGAGAGGGGGAGGGGGAGGGGGTGGACCGCGTGCGGCGGCGTCAGCGGCGAGGAGAGCGAAGGGCGCGGCGGCGAAACGTTTTCTGTTTCTTTCGGGGAGACGGAACGAAGAAGGATGGATGAGAGCGCGGCGAACGACGCGCGCGCGTCGAGGTTGCCGCGGACGCACCATCTGCGAGCCGCTGCGCTTGTTCACGATGACGACGATTTTCTTCGTGGGGACGCACGACGGCACCGCGTCGTCTGCGGCGTCGTCCGAGCCCTTCTCCTTGCTCGGGGAGCATCCGAGGACGTCTCTGAGGAACCACATCGTCGACGCTCCTCCGGAACGTGGCTAACGAACAAACTCCGGCGCGGGGCTGAATGCGCCGCGCGCGCCGCCGCTACGACGCGCCGGGTCCGCTCGACGCGACCGCGCGACCTTCCCCGCGATGCTCGCGCGACCGCGAAACGCGGTCGCGGGATCGCGTCGACGCGAGGCCTGCGCGCGAGAGAGGTCAATGCCCTCGTTGTTGGTTCGCGGGGACTCTTGGTTGCCGCCGTCGCGCCAGCCGCGACCGGATCTCGCGATCTCGGCGGGGCAAAATTGCATTTTTCTTTTTTTGCTTTCGATTTCACCGTACGTCGCTTTCAAGGAATGCTCGTCATAGCGGTGATCTTGCCGATGAAATTGCCTTTGAAAAAGGCCGGTAGCTTCTTGTCGTCGCGTGGGGCCAGCGGTCGGCGCCCGCTCGACGCGACGATCTCGATCACTTCCGACGCGCGCGCCGCACGCGCGACAGCCGCGCGGACCGACGACGGAAGAGGCGACATGTCGAGCTTGCGGCTCGTCGCGCGGGCGTGCGCGCGCCGCGCGCATCTCGCGCGCGCGATGAGCGGCGCCTCGAGCGCGGGCGGCGAGCCCGGCGCGCGCGCGCGCGACGCGTCGTCCTCCGAGGGAGGCGACGCGTCGGCGGCCGATCGCGGCGACGATCACGCGAGATCACGCGGATCGACCGCTGCCGCGGCGGAGTCGTCGTCGTCGTCGTCGTCGTCGTCCAAATCGTCTTCGTCCGAATCCGAGCCCGGGACCGCGGGCGCGGCCGCGGAGGACGCCGCGCGCGCGGCGAGAGAGGCCGCGGGGAAGTTCACGTCCTGGGCCTCGGGCGCGGCGTCGCGAGCGAGGGAGGCGTCCGGCGGCAAGATCCCGCCGCTCCCGCCGCGCGCGAGCTCCGCGATGCAGACGATCGCGAACGCGTTCAAGGAGGAATACCGCCTCGCGATGATGGACCCGGGGGACGCCGCGGAGGAGCGACGGAAGCAGCGCCCGGGGTACGTCGCGCCGGGGCCGATGGAGGAGGGCGACGGCACGACCGCGGTCGCGGTCCGAACGCAGACCAAGTCGACGTTCGCCAAGGGATGGGAAGCGATCGCGACCAAGACTGGGCTCACGTCCGTCTTCTCGAAACTGCAAGGGCTGAAGCGCACGCCGGCGTATCAGAAGACCGAGGACGCGCTCGAGGACCTGAGGGAGCGGTGGGAGACGTCGGAGAACCCGATGGTGCACAAGATCCAGGACTCCGTGGACGGCTTCTTCCAGGAGACGGAGCAAGGCGAGGCGTACCGCGCGATTCGCGCGCGGGCGCCGACGTTCAACATCAACGATTTTCTCGCCGAGGTGCGACGAGACGTGCCCAAGATTCTCGGCGCGTACCTCAAGGGCGACGTCGACGCGCTGGCGATGACCAATGTGAGTAACGAGATGATGGAGCGGATGAGCGGGCAAATGCGCGCGTGGGAGGCGGAGCAGAAGTTTGTGGATCCGCGCGTCCTCCACCTCGGCGACGTGGAGCTCGTGGAGACGCGGATGATGGAGGGCGCGCCGCTCGTCGTGACGCAGTTCCAGTGCCAGCAGATCAACTGCGTGAGGGACGCGAGCGGAGTGATCGTGGAGGGCGCGGAGGATGATATACAGGCGGTGCATTATCTGTGGGCGATGCAGCTCGTGGATAAGGAGCTCGTCGCCGCGGACGGACGGAAGTACGTCGCGCCGACGTGGGTGCTGCGAGAGATGATGCTGCGGGGGATGATGGCTGTGGCGGCGTGACGCGACCGACGCGGGATGCGAAGCGACGCGACGTTTCGTGTCGTTTCGTTTCGTGTCGTCGCCGCGCGCGCGCGTTCTTCGTGGCGTGGCGTGCGCGCGCGCGTTTCGTTTAATATCATTTCGTTTCGGAAGCCTACTTCTTCACCCCCGATTCTCGTTCGACGCCGCGCTCGCTCGTACTTTCTCGACGTCGCGTCTTCTCCGCCGGTCCCTCCCTCGCGTCTCGATCCGTCGTCCCCTCCGACCGATCGCGTCGCGTCACGTCTCCCCCGGCCTCTCATCCATGATCGTCAGCTTCAAGACGACGTGGTCGCCCTCCGGGACGCCGATGACCCCGGTCAGCATCACCTCGTCCGGCGCGTCGATCGGCCTCTCCTTGTACTCCAACCGTTGACGATGCGGCGGCAGCGCCCCCTTCGTGTTCAACGCGATAGCTTCCTTCAGAGCGCCGAGGGTGACGTCAAGTCGGACCGAGAGCGGCGCCTTCGCGACGAACGTCTTGTCCTGCTTGTACACCTCGACGTCTAACCGAAGCTCCCTCGGCGGCTCAGGCGGCGTCGGGGGTTCGGGAGGCGCGGGAGGCGCGGGAGGCTCCGCGGGCTCGGGCGCCGCCGCGGGCGCCGCCGGTTTCGGCGACGCCGCCGGCGGCGGCGACGCCGGCGCCGGCGACGCCGTCGCGGTGGGCGACGCCGCCGGGTTCTTCCTCGGCCGCCCCGGCCCGCGCTTCGCCGGCTCGCTCGCGCCGCCGTTGCCCATGGACATCGCCTCCTGCTTCGCTCTCTCCGCAGCCTGCTGCTCCGCGTGCGACGCCTCCGCCTTCGGCTTGTCTCTTTTGAGTCCGTGGAGGCTCGCCTTCATCGCTTCCCTCGTCTTCCCGTCCGCGCCCGCGCCGCCCGGGCCTTTACACCACCGCGCGTTGTGCATATTGATGCCCATGCTGTTGAAAGGCCCGAGCCCGCACCGATCGCACACGATCGTCTTCCCGGGATCGTCGCCCTTCGGCGTCTTGGGCCGCCCCCCGCGGCCCGCGGAGGAAGGCGTCGGCGTCGTCTTTTGCTTCTTCGTCAATCCGCCGGCGATGGCGGCTAAAGACATCTCGTCGAGATCCGCGTTCGCCTCCTCCTCCTCGTCGTCGTCGCTCACCGGGTCCGCGTCCGGGGCGTTCCCGCCGTACAGGTCCGGGCCGTCCTTCTTCTTGCACCACCGCGCGTTGTGCATCCGCATCCCGACCGGGTTCATCGGCCCCAAGCCGCACTTGACGCAGACGAGCGTCTTCGCCTCGCCCGGGACGTTCCCCCCGATCGTGCGCTTCCCTCCCGGCGTCGAGCCCTTGCCGGACGACTTGATGCTCACCTGCGGCGGCGGCTTCGCTCTGGCCGCGGCGGCCGTCGCGGGCGTCACGCGCACGCCCCCGATCGTGTGGCCCGCGGCGACGTCGAACGCGCTCGTGTCGGCGAGATCGCCGATGGGCGCCGCCGCCGCGTTCGACTTCCTCTTCTTCCCGGACGCGGGCCCGGATCCGTTCGGCCGTCGAAGCTGCGCGCCCATCTCCGCGGCTTTCTCCGCGCTCCACGGCACGGCGCCGAGGCACGCGAGCCCGACGCGGCCGGGAACGATCTTCACGAACGCCTTATCCGACGCCACGCACGCGTTGATCGTGTTCGTCTTCTGCGCGACGTTGCTCCAGTCCTTCAGACCCAAGTCGCCCGACGTCTTCACCATCTCCGCGAGCGTCATCCCTTCCACGCCCGCGGCTTTCAAAACCTTCACGCAGCACCACTTGATCGTCCCGACCGTGAGCCTCGCCTCGAGCTCCTCCAGGGGCTCCACCCCGGGCGGCGTCGGCGCGACGTTCGGGGACTCCGTCCACGCCACCTCGCCCTCGCTGAGGTCCACCTCGGTGAGGCCGGATTGATCCTCGGGCGCGTCGTCCCACCGCACCGTGTGCGTCTCGTTCGTCGAGTCGTACGAGAGCACGATCCCGGTGAACGTCTTGTCGAGCGACGGCCAGTACACGGAGACGCGCCATCCGATGGACGTCTCGGGCGAGCCCGGGGCTTTGCCGTTCGCGTTCGGCATCGCGGAGGGAAGGGGTGGCGGCTGATGAGGATATCTACCTCGCCGGTGATATGAACCAAAAAATGGAATGGTCGATCGATCGATCGGTCGTTCGATCGAATCGTCGAACGCGACGCGAGCGGGGGCGAGGGGCGCGAGCGCGGCGCGAGCGCGGCGCGGCGCGGGTCCGGCGCGCGACGCTCGCGGTCGAGAGCGCCGGCGCGCCGAGGACGACGGACGCGTCTGTCGAGGAAGGAAGAGGGATCGGGACGATGCGCGGCGGCGTCAGCGGTCGATCGCGGGGGAGACGGGCGGTCGCGCGGGGCGATCCGCGACGATCCGGCGCTTCGTTCGCGCGCGGGCGAAGGAAGAATTCGCGCGCGCATTCCGGCGCGCGAGATCGCGCGCCGCGACGCGCGCGCGAGCTCTCCCGCGCGCCGAGCGCGGCGACGCGCTCGAGAACCGCGCGCCCGCGGATCGAACCGCGCGGAACCGCCGCGATCGCTCGCGTCGGTCCGCGTCCCGAGGACGTAGTACGACACTCGATCGTCGAGCTAGGGCGTACGGCGTACTTTACACTTTCGCGGGCGAACGGAATGGAACGCCGACGATTCGTGCGCGGGCGCGCACCTCCGGAAAGACGACGCGAGCGGCGAGGATCACGCGCGGCGCGATCGAACGACGACGCGCGACGTGGACGAGCGCTCCGTGGTGCGAAGACCGGGCGAGCTGCTCTGTGCGGCCGTGATTGTGGCGGAGCCGGCGGCGTCGGTCGTCCAAGTTCCGCTCGTCTGGCTGGCGGAAAAATTGTAGACTGGAGGCGTTGGAGCTGGAGCGAGCGCCAGCCTGCCAGCTGTGTCGTCAATCAATTTCAGTCTTCGCGCGCGCGTCGCGTCCGTCGAAGCGCGCTCTCGACGTCATGGGCGTGTACGAGGAGAAATGGTCGCGCGGATGCGGGACCGGGATCGGACTGAGCAATCACAAGACCACGTATCGGTGCGCGCGCCGTCGCGTACCTCCTCCTCCCGCCGGCGTCGCGGCGCCGCGCTCGAATTGGATTTCCCTCTCGACCCCCTCCCTCGCTGGAAACGCCGTCGCGTCGCTGACGTCCGACCCGCCCCGCGTCCCTCTTCCGCGCCTCCAGGCAAGGCGTCATCATAGATAACTGGGTCGAGGACGAGGTCGCGTCGCGGAACATCGGCGCGAACTTCATCGGGAGAGACGCGATGCCGATGCCGACGGCGTCGACGCAGATGGACGCGTTCACCGCCGCGGTGCGTCCCCCGCCGCGCCGCGTGCCGTTGTTCGTTGGGTCCCCCCGAGATTTCCACCCTCGCTCCGCGCGCCTCCGTCGATCGTCCCGCGTCTCTCTCCTCGTCGCTCACGCGCCGCTCCGTCCTCACCCGACCAGGGCAAGACCGGCGCGGGCATCGTCCCGCCTCGGATGGACCGCCAGGCGCCGCCGCTCGTGCCGCTCGAGCACAAGTTTTCGCACGGCCTCGGCGACGTCCCGAACGACGCGTTCTACGACGTCACCACCTCGGACCTCGCGTTCGGCGACCCACGCACCGCGGGGTGGGGCAAGCAGACCGTGAGCTCCGGGCTGTGGACGGGGAAGAAGGCGAACGACGTCCTCTGCCCGACCGTCGGCGCGCGCCGCGCCAAGTCGGACGCGAAGAAGGCGGCGGCGGCGGCGGAGATGGCGGGGTTCGACCGCTACGTCGCGACGTCGCGAAGCGCGGCGGAGGCGACGGCGGCGCTCGGGATGCCGGAGAGAGTCGTGGGGGTCCCGCCGAGCAGCGCGAGCGAGGGCGGGCAGCCCGCGCAGTGCGGGAGGAAAGCGGTCGGGGGGTTTTGCCGGGAGTTTGACATGCCGTACCACAAGATTGGACTGCGGAGGTGATGATGATGATGAACGTGGATCAACGCGTTCGGCGCGACGCCGCGGAGATCGACCGCCGCGCCGTGTAAAATATATATACGTCTGCTGCTCTATCTACTTGATCGTCAACGAGCCGGAGTTCGCGACCCACGCGTTGTACTCCGGATTCTCTCCGTACCTCTCCGCCTGCTTTTCGTCCTGCTTCGCGCACTGGCTCGTCATCAGCCACACGATGAAGACCAACCCTAACGTCGCGGGCGCGAACGAAACCGCGCCGTAGACGAGCATCGCGGGCGCTCCCGCGACGTAGAGGCCCACCCAGAACAACACCTCGCCGAGGTAGTTCGGGTGCCGGCACCGCTGATACACGCCGACGTCGCACCACCGGTTCTTCCCTTCCTCGGACATCTTATACGCGCTCTTCGTGTGGTCCGCGAGCGCTTCGAGGAGCAGCCCGCACCACTGTACCGCGAGGCCGAATCCTACGACGCGACCGTACTCCGCGCCGATCGCGTGCGCGACCTTGACGTGGAACACCATCGGCGAGCACATGCACGCGTACAGAAGCGAGCAGCACAACACGACGGGCACGCGAGCCGCGAGGCTCTTCGCCCTCGCCTCCGGCGCTTTCTCCGCGCGCTTCCCCCACTGGTCCCACGTGACCGAGCGCCACGCGAGAAACGCGGCTAAACGCACGCCGTAAACCACGGCGCCGACGCAGTGATACGCCACGAGCTTCGGGATCGTCATCCCGGCGAGGGACGCGAGCGCGAGGAGACCCGCGCCCGCGTACGCCACGGCGAGGCCGTACCCGACGCTGAAGACGTAGACCGGGTTGACGAACGCGAGGCAGCACGGGAGCGCGGTGAGCGCCCAGAGCGCGGGGAACGCCAGGTTCGAGCCGACGACGGTGGAGAGCGTGTACGCGAGCGTGGGCGTCGCCGCGACGACCGTCGCCGCCGCGGCTTTCTTCGCGGCGGCGATCTGCGGGATGGCCGCGGACGCGCCCGCGCCCGCGCCCGCGCCCGCGCCCGCGGCGGCGGCGACGACGGCCGCGCGCGTTCGCGTTCGCGTCGACGTCGTCGACGTTCGTCTCCTCGGAAGCGCCGTCGGAGGCGCGGTCGCGACGGGCGCGGCGCGCGCGCGGACGCGCGGCGCGCCGACGCGCGGGCTCGATCCGATGGCCGTGCGGGTGAGCGCGAGCATCGTCGGAGGACGATCGGCGTGGTCTCGGGCGCGCGGTGGAGTGCGGAGGAGCGAGGGATGACGTCGGAGTGGATTATCCGCCTGGAGCTGGAGCTACTGCTTCCGGCCGGCCGCTCCACTCGAGACCGCCTCGTGCTCGTTGCGAAAAAGGCGGGAACATGGTCATCAGCTCGCCGCCGCGCCGCCGGGACGACTCCAAACCGCGCCGCGCCCGACCATCGCGAGCGAGCCCTCGGTCGACGCCCCGTCAGGCGATCGCACCGAGCGCGGACCGGCGATCGCGCGAACGTGACGAGCGCGACGCGCGAACGAAGCGCGGATTTCGCTCGCGTTCCGAGAAAAAAAAAGAAGTGTGCCAAGCCGCCGAGGCGCCAACCCCGATCGGCCTCGACCGCGGAGAAGAGCGACCGACGCGATGGCCTCCAACGCGGACATCACCGCGTTCGAGATGGAGCGCAACCGTCGCGTGCAGGATAACATGCGACGCATGCAGGAGCTCGGGATATTCAAGCTCGCGGTCGCCGCGGCGTGCGTCCCCGCCCGCGATCGAGGCGACATCGTCCCATCATCATCGCTCGTTTCCCGCCGAAACCAACCGATCGCGCGCGCGCTCCGATCCGATCGCGCGTCCCCTCCCTCCTCGCCGACGAGATGACCCTCGAGGTTCCTCCATCGTGGGTGTCGCTCACCTCGCGCGTATCCCCCGTCCCGTCCCTCCTCTCCGCAGTCCCCCGCCGAAACCGATCCGCGCGCCCGCGTCCGCGCGAGACCGCGCGTCGCGTCGCGAGTCGCTCGGCGAGCGAAGGCAGTCGCTGCGCATCGCCTCCCTCCCCACGCCGACGTACGAGGAGGTCCGCGCGGAGGTGGCGAAGCACTCCGAGAAACAACGCCTTTCCAGCGGCGGTCGACGCACGCACAACACGAGCGACTGGAGTTGGGAGGACGACGACGGCAGCAACGACTCGTTCGCCAACGCGGCGGCGTTCGCGCGCGACCCCACGGCGGCGTCTAGCGTCCAGCGCGCCCCGCAGTGGTCCCCGCCGGGCCCCGCGTTCGTGAAGCTCATGCTCCCGTCGCACGTCTCCGGCGGGTACTGGCTCCAGGCGCCGTACGGCATCGGCGACTTCCTCCCGGACACGACGAGCACGGTGGTGTTGACGTGCGACGGCGAGGAATGGAAGACGGTATGGCTGGTTCGATCCGCCAACAACGGCGGCTTGAGCGGCGGGTGGCGCGGGTTCGCCGTCGATCAGCGGCTCGCCGTCGGCGACGCGTGCGTCTTCACGAAAGAGCGCGGGATGCGGCTGAGGGTGACGATTCACCGCGCGCATCTGTGCGGCGGCGACGACGCCGCCGCGGAGAAGGCGTTCGAAGAGGCGGAGAGGCACGCGGAGGAGATGATGCGCGCCCCTGGAGGAGGATGCCGCGTCGCAGGCGACGAGAAAAGCGCCCCCGACGCGGTGGCCGCGACGACCGAGGATATCCCGCACGGGTTCGGCACCAGCCGCGCGCTGCACGTGTACTCGCGCCGCCGTCTCGGGAGGTACGACGCGTCCGCGGCCGCGGCGGCGAGGAAGCGAACGGGCGCGAACCCGAACGAGTGTCTGCGCATCGCGAAGGACGCGGCGCCGTCGCTGGCGTCGCTCGTGGAACGCGCCATCGAGGAGCGAAAAGCGGCGGCGCGGGAGAGGGAGGACGCGCGCGACGCGTCGCCGCGCGTCCCTCTCATACCGCGCGTCGCCCCCCCTCCAGGTCAAGATGCGGACGCGAAGAGTACGGGCGGCGTCGTCGACGCGTCAGAAGACGCCTCGCCGATCGCGGACGGGTCCGTCGGCGAGGCGGCGGAGGCGGCGAACAAATCGCCGCCAGCGCCCGGGCAGCTCCCGTTCGCGTCCCCGAAGACGCAGACGAGAACGCCGCGCGACTCTACCAAGCGCGGGCGTCGCGGCAAGCGCCCGGCGACGCCCGCCGGGAAGATGCCCGCGCCGCCGGGGAGCGCGCAGGCGACGCCGACGACGCCGCCGCCGCCGTCGACGACGACGAAACGCGCGAAAGCCGCCGCCGCCGCCGTCGCGCCGCTGCGTCAGGGCGAGGTCGCGGCGCCTCTGGACGCGACGCCCGCGTGCGGCGGCGGCGACGTCGACATCGACGACGACGCGGACGCGGACGCGCGCGCGCGCGCGAACGCCGCCGCGAACGCGAACGCCACCGCGACCGGTCGCGCTCACCCGGGGTCGCGACAGAGGAGGACGAGCGCGTCGGCGATGCATCACGGGTGGGCGACGCCCGCGGAGATGCGCGCGGAGTACGAGCGCGCGACGGGCGCGACGGCCGGCGCGACGACAGCCGCTCTCGCGACGGCGCGACGGGCGATGACCGCCGCCGCGTCCGCGGAGGACGCGACCCCCGCGGACGCGGCGGCGGTGAAGCGCGCGGACGCGGACGCGCCGCCGCCGGCGCCGAGGGCCGCGCGGGGAAGGCCGCCGAAGGCGACGGCGACGGCGGCGAAGAAGAAGCGCGCGCGCGCCGCGTCGAAAGAAACCCTCCCCGACCGCGCGGACGGGACGCCGCTGTCGCAGGTGTTCCGAAGCACTAAGCGAGGACGAACGAATTCGTGCGCGAACGCGAACGCGAACGCGAACGCGACGTCGTCCGCGGCGGCGGCGTTCGTGTCCCCGGCGGCGGTGAAAGCGGGAACGAAGTCGCCGCCGAAGCGGGGGATGAAAATCACGGAATCCAACGTCGGCGCGCCCGGGTCGTACCTGGGCCGGCGGGTGTCGTGCTTCTGGCGCGCGGAGGCGCGGTGGTTCGAGGGGACGCTCGTGCGGTGGCGCGTCGGGGACGGGTACAGGGTCGCGTACGACGACGGGGACGTCGAGGACGGCGTGGATTTCCCGGAGGATGGCGAGACCGTTCGCGTGCTGCCCGCTCGCGCTCGAGCGCACGCGTGACGCCTCGCCGCGTGATAAGTTAGTCTTCTACTCACGACGTGACGTATGCATACAGTATTATGAATAACGAATCCAAGCATCTACGATGAACGAGCGACGCGCGCGCTAGCTACTTCTGCCCGGTGCCCTTGACGACGAACGGCTCCACGGCCGCGCGCGCGAACTCGGGGAGGACGAACGCCGCCGCGTGCACCCCGGCGTTGTAGTACCGCAACGGCTTGAGCTTCGATCCCTCTGCGGCGCGGGCGGCGTTTGGGGGCGACGCGTGAGGTCAGCGACGTCGTGAGTGGGGACGAGAGAGAGAGAGAAAGAGAAAGAGAGAAAGAGAGAAAGAGAGAAAGAGAGAAAGAGAAAGAGAGAAAGAGCGAGAGAGAGTCGCCGCCGAGCGTCCGCCGCCGGGAAGCATCCTCAGAAGCCTTCGCCTAATGTAAAACTCGTCAAGAGAATTCAGATATTCTCAAACTTTCACGAAATTGATCATCCCCGGACGTTTCGCTTCCCCCGCGCGGCGCCGCGTCCACGGCGGCGAGTCTCTCTCTCGTTCGGGCGAGCGGGCGGGCGGGCAGAGCGAAATCGATCGAGCGAAAAACCGACGCGGGGCGACCGCGCGAAGATATTTTACGAACGCGCGCGCACCCGGCGCAATCGGCGGCGGCCGCGCGGGCGTCGCGAAGTCCACGGTTTTCCCCGCCGCGTCCGGCTTGGAGCACATCACGAACCCAATCTGCCCGGACGGGTACGTAGGTATCGTCGTGAACCCGTACTGCACGCTGCCGCCGACGAATATGCTCTTGCACATCTCGAGAACGTCCTTGATGAGTTCCGCGTGCAGCCACACGCACTCGCCCTGCGTGCACACCACCCCCCCCGGCTTGAGCGCGCGGTGAATCTTTTCAAAGAAATCCCGCTCGAACAGCACCGCGGCGGGTCCGACCGGGTCGGAGGAGTCCACGATGATGGCGTCGTACGACTCCGCCTCCGCGTCGCCCACCCACTTGATCCCGTCCGTGACGTGCACGCGCACGCGCGGGTCGTCGAACCCTAGGGGTCGTTCCATACGAGCGAATGTCGGGGTGGAGTTGAAAGGCGTCAGTTGGAGTTGAAAGGCGTCGAGGGCGGGGATTGAAAGGAAGGGGTGGGCGGAGAGATGCGCCGGGCAAAGTCCTTAAGGATCGGCGTTCACCACGCCGACGGGGTCGTATGGGAACCAGTGTATAGAACGCGCCTAGGGACATCCCGGGGAAATATTTCTTCGCCGTCTCGATCACGACCCCGTCGATCTCCGCGATGTCCAGACGCTCCACGGATCGATGCCGCGTGATCTCTCGCAACACGCCGCCGTCGCCGCCGCCGACGACGAGCACCTTCTTGGGTTCGTGGTGCAGCGAGCACAGCGGCAGGTGCGCGATCATCTCCTGGTACGAGAACTCGTCGCGTTCGGTGCACTGAATCACGCCGTCGAGAACGAGGACTTTTCCGTACGTCGCCGACTGGAAAACCATGACGTCCTGGAAGTCGGACTTGCCGCGGAAGAGCACCTCCTCCACCTTGAGCGACATCGCTTGACCGGGCCACATCTCGTCGGAGACTTCGCTGAACCAGCCTTTCATCGCGGCGTCCATGCCCGCGTCGTTCACCGCGGGGGCTGCGGCGGGGTGGGACGGACGGTGTGGACGGCGGTGGTGGGATCGGAAGCGCGTCAGCCGCCGATGATGCGGGTCGCGACGCGCGCGGGGGAGATTTCGACGAGGGACGAGGGACGAGCGGCGACGCACTCGCGGCGATGAGCGTCTCGCGCTGAGACATGTCGCTTCTGGCGACGACGCGGTGGCGTGTTCGCGCGACGAGCGCGCGGCGCGGACGTATCGGGTGCACGCCGAGCGCGCGCGTGAGCATGTGATGAACGACGCGCTTTCGCCGCACGCGTCTCGGAGTTTCATCGTCGCGTCAGGTCGCCGACTTCAGTGGTGTCGGCCGACCGCGCCACTCGTCGACGCGCGCGCGCACGCGAACGTCATGGGCGGCGAAAATGCCGTGACCGGCGAGGACGTCGGCCTCGTCGGCGGCCTCCTCGTCGTCGCGTCGCAGCTGAGGAAGTACGCCGCGGATGGGCTCCGAACGAACGGTGCGCGCCTCGTCGTCGTTCCGTCCATTCGTGTTCGGAAACCTAAAACCTCGCCGAGCGATGCCTCGTCGGATGGATCTCCCGACGGTCGCCCTCCCATCGCGCGTCGCGTCTGACCCCCCCCCCCCTCCCCCTCTCCCTTCCCGATCGACGCGTGCGCTCCCTCCCCTCCCCGCG